TTTGTTTGGTACCTTTTTGCTGATGTAATCCATGGATGCTGTTTGAGTGTGCAGTCCATGGGTTAGCAGGATGAGGTACTTTTAGCCAGTGGTGGCTATCTGCTTCAGGAATTTGCATCTTGGTCTTCTGGATTTATCTGCTTTCAGCAGTGGATGGGCTGAAATCTCCTTGCTCAAGGGTGAGGATCCTCTTCTGTAGAGCCTATGCCATGCTTGACTTGTACAAAGGAGAAACGCAAGGCAGAGTAATTCAGAATAATTTTAGTTAGTGATGTGAAACCTCTATTTCCTCGTTGGGCAGCCTGATTGGTTGCACTGAATGTGGGATCTATCTAATAATGGATACCATTTACACTCCCCAGCTTTACAGCACAAAGCATAAGGCTGATGTGTAAAAGTAACTCTTAGAAGTCGTGTTTAGGGTCGTGTCATCTCAAAAAGATATTTCTTAAGTATATACTGTTTTCAGCAGCTTTTGAGAAGTGTGTCACTGAATGTGGGGGAATAATAGAAGGATTCAGAGGAGCATGATATTACTCAGATACCCTTATTCACTTCATGCCAAAGGGCTTGCTAGATTACAGTCTCACTTTTTGAAAATATAATGGTAATTGGTGAGTGATCTCCCTGTCCTTATCTTGACCTGGCGAGCTTTTTGTGATGTTTCGTCTCTGCTGTCCAATGAGGAAGGGAGTGATAGAGTGGCTTTGGTGGGCAACTCATGTCCAGCCAGAGTCAACTCATCACGTTTTCTTAGAATCATACATGCGCAGACAGAAAAGAACTTGTTAAAGAGGAAAAATGCTCATCATTGAGTTACTGACTTCCAATTCAGATTTGACTAACCCCTTCTTTCAGAAAGGGAGCAAGGGACCAGTGATGGCAAGGGTCTGCCCATCAGCTGACAGTGTGCATGAACTGAATACATGTGGCTTGACTTGGGATACCTGAGCCATGCTTAAGGGGAATCATTCAACCTGAAACATCACAAGGGGACTAACTTCCTCTGCAGCCAAGAGGAACATGACTTGTGGTCTAATTGCGGATTATTGTAACTTGACCGGTGGTAGGACATAATCTTGTAGAAACAAAGAACAGAGACCTGAGCTCTGATTACACAGGTCTTGCAGCACTCAAGATGAGATCAATGGGTGCCTCTCTTGACAAGAGTAAGAAGGCTTTTGCCTTAGTGACAAGATTAGTCACTGTGAGTATGTAAATGAAATGACTCAGAATAAGTAGGGGCCTTTCTAGATGGTGCTTGTGTTAGTTTTTAAATTGGACTCATGCTGGTCAGGCAGGCAAAGATATTTGGGCTGGCTAGGCAAAGGAGTGTTTTCTTCACTTTGTCTACTTGTCTTGTTCTTTTCATCGTGACCTCTTTTTTTGTTGTAGTTCCTTTTTTTCTTTGAGGTGATGTTGTTGAAAGCAAAAAATAAAAATTAGTTGCTCAGATGAAAAAGTCTTCATGTAAATAATTAGTATTTATAATGGTTTTGCAAGTGGCAGTGGCCATATAAGCACCAATAAACTGTACAGCCAAATTATGGCAGCACTCGGTAAACAAGGGTTCTGTAAACTTGTAACTGAAGATAATAGTTTATACAGTCACATAACCTGAAGTAGATGAGCATGTAGGCTCTTTTATTTTTAATTCAAGTTTCTTCAAGTCTTTGTCATTCCAGCATTGTAGTCAGTTGTGGGCACAGAGCTTATTTTAATCACGAAGTCTAGATTTAGTAGCAAGAAGACTGTGAAAACTTTTGTCAGATTTTGGTGGTGATTTCCCTAGGGAAAATAAAAAGTAAAAAAACCTGACACTTCCCTCCCCAAAACCTAAACCTGTCCCTGCAAGTTAGGGAGCTTGCTTTCTCTACCGTAGGTTCACTACATTAAAGTATTAAAATTTTTCTTTTCCTTAAAGTTTGTCTCTAATAAAATTAGAAACAAGAGCAATGGTCTGCATCTTTGTAGAAAGTGTTTGCAGTTGGTATACTGAAGTGTAAGAGGAGCAGTGGGCAGCTGAAAGGTTTGCAGCTGGGATCTCTGCATTTGTATTTCTAGGGTTGTATGCTCCTGTCCTGATAGAGCTTACCCATACAGTGTTGTTTGTGGCAATCTTTAAGGATATAGGCACTGTGCTTTTCATTGCTTAGGGGATTAAAACCATATCAGACTAACAGATATTACAGCTGTTTTGATTTGGCTTCTCTAATTGTGGAGTAGATCTACTTCATCTGGTTGTATGTCTTGAGGCGAAGCTTTTGCCGTGTGTTTTCTGTGTGTGGAGGCCTGTGGCATTCTTCTGGCTGTTTTGATGTTAAGCCAGTATTTCCTGTCATTCATGGAGTTACATTTGGTGATGGAATTGGTTCTTGAGAATGGAAATTACTGTAACTTATTTTTAACATGCCTTGTTTTTTACCTTCAGATTTGTTTACATGTTTTAATGGAGGCGAGTGTGTCTACAGAGAGCTGTGCGACTGCAGTCGATTTAATGCAACTGGGCCAAGATGTCAGACAGGTATGAAAAGAGAGAAAACTTAACTGTGTTTCTGCGGTTGTACTCTGGATTCCCACAGTTACAAGAATGACTACTTGCTGCCTGAGGGTTCCTTCGTGCCCCAGCATTTTTCCCTCTCTTTTTGGTGGTGGTACTTCATAGCGTGCCACATACATACATCCCAACTATAGGCTGAATCCAAAAATGAGTGATGCTTCTCAAGTTGCTCTCCTTTTGTTAGTGTATAATACAGGTGCTGAAAGAGATCATATATGCAGAACATGGGGTCAATATAATTTTGAAACTTTCGATGGACTGTATTACTATTTTTCTGGGAAATCCACATATGCGCTTGTGAGACATGCTGAATTAGATGAACAGAGTTTTTCCATACAGGTAGGGGACTGCACTTCTGCATTCCTTGTAGCTTGTTGTTGAGCTTGCTAATAATGCATTCATATTTAGAGATAAAAAATAACTTGATGATAGTACGGGGTTCTAAAGTGTAATCAAGATGTAATTCTAATGTGGTGTGGGCTACTAGTTACTATAGCACAAAACGTAAAGAATGAAAGAGATATGTGTGCTTTCAAAACCTGCTGCTGTGAAAAGCTACTCTAAAAGGAGTGCTGATTTTACTCAGGTTTTTGGAGAAGAGCGAGACCAAACTACTTGTTCACATGCCGAGGGTGGGATTGAGGATGTTAGTTGTGTAACATGGATTATGAAGAGTTGGATTAAAATCATGACTTTGATGCTAGTAATTCTGTTTGTCAGGTGAATAATGATCCTGAGTGCCATTCTTCTCCTTACTCCTGCAAAAGATCCATTAGTTTATTCTTTTCTGGAGATGAACAGATAAAGATGAGCAGTGAAGTCACCTACAAAGGATTTGGGTAATTGCACTCAAGTTTCTGATGCTGTAGTTACACTGGAACTAATCTTTTGATGCTGATTTGATAAGAGATGCAAACTAGATTACTTGTTTGTGGGTAACTTAAAAAAAACCCATCCAGGCTGCAGCTGTAATAATTACTCTCCATCGACAGCCTAGTGTCCAAGGAAGGTGATGTCTAAAGGAGTGGTACATAGTGCATAACCATTGACATAAGTCCTTTGATTTTTGCTCTTATTTGCAAGTTCATCTTTTTTTCAGTGGGAATTACTCAATATTTGTATCATGAGTTTTCAGAAGTATAAGTATAAATCAGCAAGTAATTTATTTTTAGTAGTGATACTTCTGCATGTAAAGTTGTTTTTGATTTCTTTCTCAGAGTACAGTTGCCTTATATTATTGGGAGCTTACACATCCAGAAGCTGGCTGGGTACTTCCTAGTCAGGCACCAGTACGCCTTTACTCTGGCTTGGGATGGTGCATCTGCAGCGTATATCAAAATGGCACCACAGTACCTGGGGAAAACACATGGACTGTGTGGAAACAATAATGCTATCCTGCAGGATGATCTTGAAACGAGTTATGGTCAGTATTTAAAATGCTTCCTCCATTTTTTTTTTTTTTTTCCCCCGGTGAACTACATGTTACTTTGCTTAGTTAGGTGATAAAAAGTTCTGGAAGTCATTGCTTTGGGCTGTTTAACTCTTTGCTGCTCCTCTTTGAGGTATTTCTGTGGAGTACTACTTACAAGCTTAGTGCAGAGTATGTGGCAGGTTTCCTTTAAGTGTGCCACTCAGTTGCAGGAAGCTCTTATCAGTGCAGGGCTGATGCTCTTACTCGAGTTGAATAGTTCACTTACTAAATGTAAATGCATAAAATAATACCAGGATGAATAGTTCATTGTCCTCTTTACCTTCAGAGACTTTGCCCTACCCTCTCACCTTTCTCTGGATGTCTCAGCCACATAAAGCTGTGATTGTAACACAGGTCGATGCATTCCATACTAGCTTTATCCAGTTAGCTTGGGGAGCAGTGGTAACGAAGGTATGGCAAGATATGATTCCATGGGAAATTCTAGTAGTAATCAATGCCACCGTTTGTCTATGAATGCTTTTCTTATGTAGTTCAAAACTAGTGTGGACATTTCTACTTATGCAAAAAAGTCACACCTTTAACGATAATTTACACCATCATTTTGTTACCCCTGCGATGACTTGGAATGCCACGTCTTTCTGGATTTTTAGACTGAGAACTTCATAGAAAGTTCTCAGCATAGACTTAAGTATATACAGTTTATTACAGCTTTTCTTTCTTTTCTTCCTTTCAAAGGACTGTAACAGGCACAGTCCTGCTCCCTAAAGCCCTTCCTTGCAAAATTGCATGAGTAAGCTTCTTTCTGTCAATCTAAAGCTTTTCTACTGTATTTAAAGAGTATTTTTGTTGCTTAAAAGAGGGACCAGATTGTCTTCTGACTAACATTTAGTTGTAGGAAGGGTTTGACATGCTCTGAATAATGTGGTGTTTTGATTATTGAGATGTTTCCCTGGGAAAGCCTGTAGAAAAGTTTTTCTTCCAGGTCAATGTGTGACTGTGTCTGTCTGTCTTGTTTAGGAAAACTGACAGATGATGTAGCAGAATTTGTAGAGAGTTGGCAGGAAAATCCTCCACAAGGAACACCCAATTGGGATAAATCTCTTCTCAATGAACCACCTTGTCTGACACAAAGCCATGAATCTCTGCAGGTTTGGATCAACACAAAAGGATTATCAAAATAGTTGATGATTCTAATTAGAGTGAGAATTTGACTTAATACTTTGAAGGAGACTGGAAATATCCTCTTCTTTTTGGACAAATGGTTTAAAATGCTCACTGCGTCTTCTCTTGTCCTCTCCTTTCCCCCCACCTTTTGTTTTGTAGAAGTTCATAATTTAATTCTTTATTTTAAATTTTCTTTTAAATGTTATATTGTTTGCATAGCAGCCAACAGAGTTTTTTGAATCTGGGGTAAAAGGGTGAAAAGTTGTAAAGCAGGGGTGTGTTCTAGAGTTGGTTCCTGTTCCTTCCCTTGGGAAGGATAGAAAAAAGCAGGCGAGCAAAAACAGTGAGAGCACAGTTAATTGGCCAGCGTTAAAGAAATGAATTATTGTTACTTTGGTTTGTCACATTGAAGTAGTTTTTCCTTTTAAGTAATATTTTAAAGATACCACCCTGAAATGAAGCACTTTGAAACTAAAGCTGTGCCAGACATGTCTTATTTCTGTTGCCTTTTACTGTGTGATTTAACTAAAATGAAGGCTATTTCTCAGTTTAGCTGCAGCATGATCTGTGCCTTTCTTGGGGTAGGCCTGTGTTGTATCACCACTGGTATGACCTTGGTTCAATGTTATGAGTCCTCTGGCCTGGAGAACAGTATGTTGCTAGTGACTGCTTCTAGCTGATGAGAGTAAAGTGATTCTTAGTCACAGACTGAGATGTCTGTTCTAATTTTCCATAGTAATCTATTCTGTTTAGGTTTATTTCTAAAAAAGCTTATCTTCACAACTGCCATCTCATTCATTTCAGAGGGCATACTCTCTGTGTAATATCCTGTTATATCCGCCGTTTGAACAATGTCATGAGTATGTGAGTCCTCTTCCTTTTATGGCGAGCTGCACCAATGATCTTTGCATGTAAGTAGGTGCTTCTGGATAATTCTAAAGCTGCTATTAAAAAAAGTCCTGTCATGACATTGAATTTTAAATGTTAACAGAACTAATGGATGTATTTTTTTACGTATCCAGTTTTCTCTAACATTCTTTTATTATTTTACTTTTCTCACTTGTTCTAATTTTACTGCCAGAAATTTCTGTGGAGTGATTCCTGTTTTTTTTTTTTTGGTATAAAGAGGACCAAAATCAGACCCAGATATTTTTGTAATTTGTTAGTGTACCTGAATCTGAATATGTACCTGTTTTGATTCTGAATGTGAATGTAAAGTTAGTATTTTTAGCTTTTAATGAAAAGTAATAATGAATAGATGAGTTTAGCATCCACAAGCCATATGTTAATCCAATGAAGAGAGGAATTTGATTGCTATTTGAATTTATGCCATCATTTTACAACCTGTATGCTGCTTAATCCAAGCAGTTTTGACTACTTAAATTAACAGGAAGGGCAGCAGAAGATAATCTTTGCTTGTAGGTAAAATATGATGTGTCAATTCTTCTTTGTGTAAGGTCAGCAGTTGATAATGCAACTTGGTGTCGAGCGTTAACTGAATATGCCAGAGCATGTGCCCAGGCGGGAAAGCCACTTCATGGATGGCGAAGGCACTTTCAGCAGTGTGGTACGCAGAGCTTTTGTACTTGCAAATACTGCTTAGTAGTTGTATTTTGAGAAGAGCACTCTTCTTACTTTGTCCTTCCTCCTGTTTTGAGTTCACACGGTTCTCAATGAAAGTATAAGTACGGACTCATGTCAAGGCTATATAAATGTGATGGAATTGATTTTTTTGTATGTGTAATTTACACTGAATATATTTAAAGCACTAAGTGTATTAGAATGTGTTTTAAAAGTCTACATAGGAAAACATCAGAGATTCTTTAATTGCTTTTATTCTCGTGCAGCTGCTCTTTCAGATATTGTCAAAATCTTCATGGCTTTCTGATATATAAAACAGGTCATGAATATTTAGGTCATAAATAAATTTGAATTACACTTGTCTTCATCTTAGAAGTAGCAGAAAGTAAATGTGAAAGAGATTGTCTCATATGTCTGTCTGGAAAACAGGACCAAAACTGCTTTGTCATTTGTGACAGGTTTCCCCTATGTTTCCAAAAATATTTGTTAATGGATGTTCTACCACTTCCTGTGGTGGCCTGAGTAGCTAAATAGCTTTGCTGTGAGAAAGTTTCTCTGAGTCCACTTTGGTGTAATTTAAAATTATTCCTTCTAAATGCGCCTTTAAGGGACAGAATATGAATATAAATATATTCTGTGTTATGAAAGCTATTATTTTGTTGTTCTAGACAGCAGATGCTCAATCAACTCAAAAAATAAAATACCTGAAACGTATGCAGTCTGCTTAAGCTCAGTGGCAGTAGCACAGTTCTTCTTCATTTTTGTTTCAACTTCTTAGTGATTACCTGTGCTGAACCCTTGACCTATAACGAATGCATCAACTGTTGCCCTGTTTCATGTCATCAGCAGTCACAGTGTATTGACAGCGAGCTTCCCTGCATTGATGGATGCTACTGTCCAGATGGTGAGTTTTGCTTCTCCAGTACACGTTATTTGATTCCATTTAACTTTTGGATTGTTCTCCCCCACATTTACCTGTACGGCCTGACTAGATTAGGACATTCACAGGAGCTCTTGATAAGTGCGGTGCTGAGGGAGTGTAGATGAGTGACCCTGTTTTCCCTGGAACTGACAAGAGCCTTTTCCTGGGTTTCTTGGGTCTACTTATTTGTACATATGCCTGATGGAGCACTGATACTGCACTCTGTTTTATTTCTTCTAGGCTTAATTTATGAAAACGAATTATGTGTCAAGCCTATGGACTGTCCTTGTGACTACCATGGGAGCTTCTTAGAAATGGGCTCGGTGGTTTATGAAGAGTGTAATAACTGGTTAGTAATTTTTCTGTTTATGCTATGCACTTAATCCTTTCATAGTCATGAGAGGCAACTTCTTTAAGGCCTATTTCAGTTAAAAATTGAGTTAAATCCTTGCTCTTCCTACATACAAAAGGTATTCTTCCATATATGTTTTTGAGTGAATGCATGGATGAAAATTTCCCCTGACTTCTTGTGAGGAAAGGCCGAGGGGCTTGAGACACACCTTAAAAATGCTTATGAATACTTAAAGGGTGGGTGTCAGGAAGATGGGGCCAGTCATTTTACAGTGGTGCCCAGTGACAGGATAAGAAGTAACAGGTACAAAGCTGAACATAGGAAGTTCCATCTAAACATGAAGAGGAACTTCCTTACCATGAGGGTGGCAGAGCACTCTAATGGGTTGCCCAGAGAGGCAATGGAGTCTCCGTCTCTGGAGATGTTCGGAACCTGCTTGGATGCCATCCTGTGCAACCTGCTGTAGGCAAACCTGCTCTGGCAGAAGGGTTGGACTAGATGCTCTTCAGAGGTCCCTTCCAATCCCTGTGATTCTGTGATGTCCTCGTGATAAGCTCTTGCCACAGCTTCCAGGTATTCTAGTGACTATGATAGCTCTGTTGTGTGTAGAGTCTCTAAAAATAGTACTTGGTGCTCATTTCATAGAGAGGGAATCCAGGAAGAACAACTGAGCGACAGATACGTGTACCTTATGTATTTACCCCCCCAGAAAAAGCATGAAACCTTTTTCGTTTTATTTCAGCACTTGCCTTGGAGGAAAGTGGATTTGTACAAATCTTACATGTCCAGGTATGTGCAAGTCATGAGTACTTTTTTAAATAACTGAGTTCTTACTTGGGATAAAAAAATATTGCTGTTGCATCATAATGTGATATATTACTAGGTAATTTTATTTTTATCTACATATAAATGCATCTGCACACATAGTAGTTTGAACATTAAAATGATCTGAGAAGCAGGCATCTGCTTTTTGGCGTAGTGCAATAATGTGTCTCCTTATACATCACCAGAGTGTCTGGTAGATGGCACTGCCTGGTCATTGTTGTTCAACTGAAGTTCCCTCTGCAATCTTCACTTGACAGACTTAGGGCAAGAATATTTCTTTCCCCACAGTATTGCTTGACTAGGTATTGTACAAATATATGTTAATTATTTTCACAACGTGACTGTGGAATGAGTGTTATTTTCACTTCACAAATGGGCAGCTGAGCTGGAGAGGCTAAGGTCAAAAGGATTTTAGGATACCTGTGGCCTCATGGTTCTTGTAGCTGCCGATAGATTCAAGCACTAATCTGAGAGCTGCTGGTTAACTGTGAGAGTGGTAAATCCTTCCATGAATCCGTTTTTAGAGCCACAAATCTAATACCCAGAATATGAGGATCACACGTTGCCTCCTTTTAGGGGAAGAATTGTTTGGGTGTTCTGGCCTGGCATTGGATAGGAACTCCTTAATAAAAATAAGTATAAAGTTCCGTTCCTAACTGTTTTCCTAGTATCTCATTATAATATGAAGACAATTTTATCAGTTACAGTATATATCAGAATGTATGAATTCTACAGCAGTAATAACTGGTGAGAGCACGCTGTCTTTTTTTACATGCTTAACTATGTTATTTATGTTTGTCAGCTGAATGCTCAGTTTCGGGAGACATTCATTTCATGACCTTCGATGGGCGCAGATACACTTTCCAAGCAACCTGCCAATATATTCTAGCAAAAAGCCGTACATCTGGAGCGTTTACTGTATCTTTGCAAAATGCTCCTTGTGGACAGGTAAGGAACTTTCTTGTAATGGTTCTTTCCAAAAGGATTTATTAATCAGGGAGGGGGAGAAGTAGCAAAAAATTGAAAGCTACATGCAGTTGAATATATTCATCAGTAGGAACAATTTTCTCTAACGGTGTGGCTGGACAGTAACAGTGCAGAGGAAGTCTCTGCATAAGTTTTCCTGATGGCTTATGATAAGATGGGAAACGATGCTGGTGTTCTGAGTCAGTGTTCACTGAGGTTATTCAGTAGCATATGGTGGTTCATGCAGGAAACCCTGGATGATGACTTGTTTTCTTGAGCTCTCCGAGTACATCTTGCAAACAGCCCAAAATAAGCCAACTGGTTACTAGTGCTTGAAGGAAGAATGACTTTTTTGTGCCTTGAATATAGCTTCCTCTGAGCTTTATTCTTGCAGCTTGAAATTCACTTTTACTTACATTCATATCAAAAACTTTGTATAGCTTATGGGACACCTCTCAGATAGGGTATATCTGCCTTACTGTTAAATTGATTTCAGCCAAACATACATTGGCATATGTATAGCTGATACTAAGGGTGCACCTACTTCATTTTTGAAAGGCTTTTTGATATTGTACACAGGTTGCTAAATATGCCATCTACTTTGTGTCCAGGACCTGTTTTTCTTGTGTTTCTGGATTTCTGATGATGTATTAATGTTGTATGAGTGAGGCATGGAACACTGGTGAGATTTTCACTATGATATTTAATTCTTACTACAGTCTTGGTGGGTCTTACAATCTTGAAGAAGTTAAGGCAAGTTAGAATAGATCTTAAACATAAATAAATGGTGTGAGAAGTGTAATTGACTGGATTGAGCTATTTTCTGGAGTCAGGCTTTCCTCACTGACTTCATGTCTAACTATCAACTGGCTGGTACCACTTGGCAAAAGAGCTGCTTTACAGTTCCCTAGGCACCATCCATTATCTCCCATTTATGAAAATTAATGAATTGAAATGGGAAGCCAGAAGGTTTGTAATGCAGAATCTCATATTTCTTGGTGGTTTGAGATTCCCTGTGCTTTTTAAAAAAATGAAACCACTTATCAGTCCCATCTCATTCAAGCAGATTAAAAAATGTAGAAAGAAAATACCTGGGGAGATTTTATTTAGCTCTCTGAATCACAAAGAATTCAGTCATCTAGAGCCTTAGAGCTGGTGACATAAACAGTCATCAGGCAACAGGTTATTTCAAAGTGATGTGAAATTTTGTTTAAGCACTTCTTGGAAGGAAAATCAGTCAAGTAATCAGCACAGCTTAACCTTATCTGAGTTTCAGGTGACAACCTCACTGGCTTTGTAGTTTGTATGATGAGAAGTCCTTCTGAATATAGAAAATTTTTTTTAAGTGTCTAGTGAGAGAAATGGCTATTCCTGTGAAAACACCTGCTGGAAGTTGGCAGGGGTAGTGCTGTGAAAAAAACAGAGAATAATTGTCAGGCAGAATGTTTCCTTTAGTTTCAGCATGAAGTAATAACAAAGCTTTTGTCAATGTTGTGTAGTATTGTATATACTGTAGTGGGTTGTTTTCTTGTCTCTGGTCTGCTATGTGTACCAGCTGGTATTCTTTTATTTTCAGCATCTTAAATTGACAACTTTGTCAACATCTTACAGCCACTGTTGTGAAAAACCTAATTTCTCAGTAAAGAGGCAAGACAATAAGATATAAGTTACAAGTAGAGAGTGTGGCTGCACAATGCAAGTGTCTGTCTTCACTGTCAGTCCAGGAGAGCTGGCTGAGCTGATGAAATATCTCGTTATTTTTTTCATTTGCTATTTTTACGTTTCATTTTATCATTTCAACTGTTGGTGAAAGATCACTGCTGCGCTGTTACACAAAGGTGGGGAGATTCTGAGTTTTTAATCTTTACACACCACTGTGTGTGCTTGTGTGTCCATGGCATTTGAAGGACTGACGGACGATCTGCTGTGCTAGTTCAGCGTCTGTGAAAGCCACAGAGTAGTATTCCGAGATCCTTGTAGCTGTAGTAATTGCTCTCAATGAGCAGGGCAGCATTTGGTCTGTATTAGGTAAGTCTGAGCATAACTCAATGAGAGTTCAGTAAAAATGTAAATGTTTGAACTGAACATCGTAATCTGTTTTCGCTGTGGACGGTGCTATTCTCAGTATAATTTTGCTGTTAGTGTGACTATCTAAAGGATTTTTTTTAAAAAAAACAACAGTGGTGATCCAGTTCATTCTAGTAAGAAAAATCTGGTAATCTTCTGTGACTAGTAAGCGTACTTTAATGAGCATTGTTTCCCTGTTGGCATCAAATGCCGAAGTACCTGTAGTTATTCTGAAAGATTGAAGTAAGTCCATGCCTGGAAGCTTTGGTAGGAACTGACTAGTGTTAATTGTCTGGCTGGCTAGTTGTCACGTTATTTAGTACAGGTGCATTTGTAACTGTGATATGTTGAAAACATTTTTAATTCCCCACTAATTTTAGCTTTATTTACACTTCTATTTAGCATTCATCCTTTTTATTATTTCTGTTTTTAAATCTGTTTTGCTCTTGTAGAACCAGGATGGATCATGTATCCAATCAATCAGCCTTATTCTTAAGCAGGACCCCAAGAGGCAAGTGACTCTGACTCATTCAGGAGATGTTTTGGTGTATGACCAATACAAAATTAACCTGCCTTATGCTGATGGTAAGGAATAATATTTCAGCATGTAACTCGTATTAAGCACTAAAGCAGTTTTTTGATGGCATCTGTGTATGTTTTGATACTGTAGATATTGCTAGCACTGAAGCAGTATCTTGTTAATATCAGCATTGTTAATTTCTTGGAAAATGTTTAAATTAACTGCTGTACTTTTTACACTGCTGGTAAGAGTCATACAGTAGCTGTTTTGGCTAGTGCCTCTGTGTTAAGATAGACAGAGTATGTTCTGTTAAACTGAAGTTCAAAAGCCATCCCTCACATTTACAAGACTAGTTAGTTCTTTTCTGAGGGGAAATTCTTTTCTCTAATTTTTGACTGAATAGTGTTTTTCTTTTTTGCAAGCGGCTCAGGTAAATAGAAGTGGAAGGAGCCCTCTTGTCCTGTGAGGCATTGACTCTTTGGGAATTTTCCAAAACAGACTATAATATAGGAAGCATAATATTGGTCTTAACATTACAGACCATTTTAGACAAGCTAATCCTATCTGTAATGTTTGTGTCATTAAATTGATTTGCTTTTAGTTAACTTTCATGAATAGTCTAGTGAACTCTGGATGCATTTTTAAAAACTGTGGTGACTGTCATAAGTTTCACATTTTCCATGATTAGAGGCAAGTGTGGCTTTAATAAGAAAAAAATGTGAAAAATAATATAGATCAAAACCAGTGAAATTACAAGAAACAAAATTCAAATTACAAGTGGATTTCCTTTGCCTTTCAACTGTCTCTGTTTGTACTCACCAGAGTTATTTGAAATACGGAAACTCTCCTCTGTATTTCTTCAAGTAAAGACACACATTGGATTAAAGATACTGTATGACAGAGAAGGACTGAGGCTTTATCTCCAAGCTGATGGACGATGGAAAGATGATACTGTGGGCCTTTGTGGAACCTTCAATGGAAATACGGAGGATGATTTTTTGTATGAATAGCTGCAAGATTTCTATTTGCCAGTATATGAATATCTGCAGTTAGAGTGGTAGATTGTGTACTGAAGCTGAGTGGATAGATATCAAGAACAGCTTTCTGTTAGTGAGATAGACAAGTTTTAGTTGGCTAACAGAAATTCTGTAACTTCAAGTATAGTATATCAAGCCAGGTTTTACGTATATTTTAATATAAAAGTACAATGACTTATATATAACTCATAAGTTAGGACTTTCTGCCTCCCTGTAAGCCTCTATCTCTCTCCAGCCCCTGTTTTCTGCTCGAAGTTCTGATCTGCTTTCTCTGACAGAGCCTCCATTGTTCGGTGTCTGCAGGCCGTTTTTGAATTGGCTGTTGCCTGAGCTTTGCTTTGTTGTGATGCAGTGAAAAGGTGGTCAGAGCTGCCTGAGCACCACAGCCAAGATTAATGCTTGTCCAGCTTCTTTGCTTCTTTCCTAGAGATACTAAAGAAAATTGGCTTCTGAAGGATTGAGCAGCCTAGTGGAACTGGGAGCAGGAGAATGTGAATTTAGAGCATGACAGGCTATTTTTGTGACAAAAAGAAAATAGTTAGAATGTCTTTCTCTCAAAACAGTGGGAATTATTAAAATAAAAACTAATGGGAAAACTTTCCATAGTAGTTCCTATTTAAAAATGGACACACACACACACACACACACACACACACACACACACACAAAACAATATTCTATTGGATATTTGAACAGTTTTTATCTTGAGGCTTAAAAAATATTATCAAAATATTGTATCAGAATAACGACACTGGGAAATTATTATAGACAGGATCTCGGTGAAGAGGTGTTTACATAAAACTAAAAATATTTCTGTTTGGAGCAAGTAAGTTTTGCAGGGTTTTTTTTTTTTGATGAGTTGTTGAGTTTATTCTCTATTAAGTGAGAAGTTATTCAAAAGTTGGTATTTATGGAATAAAGTCTGTAAACTACAGGAGTTTAGGAACTGTGCTGAGACATGACACCAACCATACTGTGCAAGCATCTTGACATGTACATCCAGACCAGATTTGGGACACTGGCCATATACAGTGGTGTCTTTTGCAACACTTTCACCTCCAGCTACTTTACCAGAAGTGATACTGGTTGTATGCTTTTTCCCTAGAATGTAACGTCCTGTATTTAAATGCACACTTTTGATCATTCTCCCTGTACAATGCTAATGTGCCTTGGTTCTTTTGATAAATCTTTGTGTCTTTCAGTTTCTGCTGCACCTTCCCTTACCCAGGCCTCATGGATAGTTATCCAATTACTTTTGCAGTTATACCTCTGGACCTTTGAATTTCTGTTCCTTCCTCTGTCATGCAGATAGTGGAGAGCTCAGAAGTCAACTTTAAGAACAGAAGGCAAGATAGAGAGGAGAGAAAAATGGATCATACTTCTGCCTGAGGAGGCAGAAGTAGGAATAAACAGAGTTCAGGCTTTCAGGACAGTGGTGCTCCCTCCTTGTCTCTTATAAAAATGGAACTTGGTCTGTTTTGGTATGTCCCTCCTTACAGAGTAACTAATGGCTCTAGAGTAGATGACTTTCTTTTTTGGGCCTTCGCCTGGAAAGAAAGAGTCCTGGAACTTAAGTTGACAGTGCTTTATGGGAGAGTACCTGGGAATATGGAGCAGTGGAAGGGGAGTTTAAATCATCTCTCCTGAAGGGGGTGGTAGACCTGAGAGCATTCTGTAAATTCACTTTATCTTTTCTGACTTACTTGTGTTTTGTAAAAGATCTCCTGTTGGAGTAACGGAGAGCACTCCAGAGCTGTTTGGAAACACGTGGAAAACTTCCTCAGCATGTGTTCTTGTGCGTGATAGTTCACAAATGGATCCGTGTGATGTTCATCTGCAGGCAGGTGGGCAGTGAAGGTCAATTGTTATTGACAAATGCATCTCTGCTTATTACATCTGTGCTGGTTTTCCTAGTTGGATCAGGTAAAGTAATACCCAGTCTTACCCACTAAAAAATGAATGGCTGATGCCATGATGACTCATTGACGGTTGCCAAGAGATCCTTTAGTAATGACGAGCTTTGTGGATCATTAGTCGTACCTATTTTCACAGTTCCCACCGTTTCTTGTCTTGGGCTCCACACACTTTTAAGCAAGATACACAGATAAAATATTGATTGAAGTTTTGCCTGTAATTTCAGCAGTGCTAGGAAACATGTCTCCTGCTACGGTGTCATCCTATCTTACGAGTGTTTATACAATACGTAGTGCCAAGAAGCTGCGTTCTTGGCAATGAGTTTGGACATGACTGTAACAAAAACTCATCTGTATAGGAAGACAGAAATTCTGGAAATGGAATTTTGAAGTTCTAGCTAATGCATCTTGCTTTGTGGGAAATAAAAATGTAGGAATATTTCTTTCTGGATATGCTAATATAGCATATTATTTCTTTCGGCTTCTATTGCACAATTAATTAATGCATTTAGAATGAAGATATTCAGATGAGTGCTGCGATTGGAGCTTTTCTTGTAATCATTTGATCCTGCCTTTTTTTTGCTGTGCAATAATGCTACACCACGCCAGCAGTTCTGGGTGTGGTGACAGCCTTATACAAGTGAAATAGTGGTGAACAACAGATCATTCTTTCAAATACTGACCTACTGAAGGTAGCTGCTGGGAATTGACTGAAGAGAGGTGTTATCCTCTGTGTGTGAAAGGCACTGGATCATGTGTAGCACCTGTTGCTTAACCCACATCCATGAATTGTTTTAAAGGTTGGAGACTATTAAGTAGGTACTGTCTGTGTAAAGTTCTCCAAATACCTTAAAATCATTTCCAGAATAAGTTCAGAACTGGGCAGTTAACTTCTTTTCTGTCCTTCTGTACAGTTGTATATATACCAAAGACAGAAAGGTATCTATGGCAGCAGTACCTAACTGGTCAGTTGCGTTATATGGAAGACGCTTTTTACTTCAAGTCTTCTCAAAAACTCTGTCACTGAAACACTGTTTAATCTGTTATTTGTATAGCCTCTTATGCAGCGGAAGCTTGTAGCATCCTCACGAAAGAGCTTTTTGCTCCATGCTACCCCTATTTGAGTCCCGTTCCCTATTTTGAGCAGTGCAGAAGAGACACTTGCAAATGTGGACAGACTTGTTTTTGCTCTGCTCTGGCCCATTATGCTCATCATTGCCGAAGATTTGGAGTTGTAATAGATTTCAGAGGAGGTGTCCCAGACTGTGGTGAGTTTCCTTGCACTTCTAATCTTAAATAATTAATATTTGAGGACTTTAGAATCACAGTCAGAAAATAAACAGATTTTTTTTTTTAAAAAAAGAGGATTATAGGGCTTTGAATATCTCATCTGTGTTGTTATTCATGAGCTGCATAAATAGATTTGTTCTTTTCCATGTAGGTGGTAGATTTATCTGATTTTTTAAATGAATGAGATGAAAAATGATGGTGATTCATGTAGTAGTTTTAGCTGGATTATTGTCAGCTTTTGTCTGACAACGTCTTTTAGGTTACTCTTACAATCAGTGACACTGATATACATAGTGTGAAAAGCATAGAGAATTAGTATTGCTGATGTTTAAAATGAATGGAAGAATATAGATAAACTGGTGACGTCTCTTATCTGCTCTATAATTCCTCAAGTAGAGGAGTAGGATAACATTATTCAATTGCTATGTTAGTTCATGTGGACTTCTAGTGATGTAAAAGATGTTGATAGGTTACATAGTACCCTCACGTATGTTGTTTTATAGTGTTTTGATTTCTATAATTTTTTAAAACAACTCCAAACTGAAACCTCATGTATTTCAGTAGATTTGGCTTCATAAATAAGGCTGAAAATACTTTCTAAGGAACGTTCAGGAATTTAACATTGGGTAGTTAACATCACATCATGTAATTATCCATGTTGTAATGCATGACGAAGAGGATTTTGAAAAGTTGGTCCAGCTTAAATATCTCAAGCTGGACTGTCTTGCTTGCAGTCATTACGACATGAATGTGTCCATTAGACTGAATGAGTCATTAAAACTGTTTCATTTTCTTCTGTTTTGGTTGTTGTTTTTTTTTTTAGAAGCAAGAGTAGCTTTATTAGAATGTATTTAAAACGTCATGCTTATTGGGTTTAAAATATGTGAATCCTTTTAGTTTTTCACGCTTCAGATATTTTTTTAAGTAGAGCTTGATAGGATGAATGAGGAAACCTAAGATAGTATTGCTCAACGTCTGCTAAGTACGCACGTATTATTTATTGCTTCTGACATCTTCTTTAAGATGCTCTCCATTTCCCAAAGCCCATGTACAAAAGCCAAATGTTTTCAGAGATAGGGGGGGAAAAAAAGCTTCAGCTGTTTGGTTTTGCCAGTGTAAATCTGGATTAACTGTGCAGACTTCTACTCATTATTACTGTGGATTTACATCTGTGTAGTTTATACAGCATAGTGCCAAGATAACAATTTTAGTGGAATTTAATGTGATTGGGAATGAAAGAATAGAGATTTTATCGGAAAACTGTTGTTGAGAACTTGAGTCTCTTGCACTGTAATTTGAGCCGTTTGTTTTGTTTGGGCAGGTCTTTCATGTGAAGATACAAAGGAGTACAGTACCTGTGTGTCTGGCTGTGGCAGAACCTGCCAAGCACTGTCTGTGCCACAGACATGCAGCAGTGAGTGTGTTGAAGGCTGCGCTTGTCCCTCTGGAATGTATTTGAATTCCAAGACTGAACGATGTGTACGGAGGTGGGTGAAGTTGCAGTTCTGATAGTGCTGCTCACTGCCTTAGAGCACTGCACTTGCAAGTCCAAGTGAAAAGCTTTAAACATGTAACCTTGTAGATGTTGTTGGGATCTTAAAATTATACAAAACCTCTGTGTTGATCAAAAGTAGCTCTTTTGTGGTACTGACGCTCATCCAACATCACCAAAGCTAGTTTTTACATACCATCTTTTTTTTGGCATCTCGGAAATAGAAAAGGTGTCCACTGTTGCATAGAGGTTCTGCTTTCTTACTGATTTGATTTGGAATATGCTTGAGTTATGTGGCAGTATGTATGAGTAGTTAATTGAGAGCTATTTCTTGTGTTTTAAACAAACAACCAAACCATAAAAAAAACCCAAACAAAGAAAAAACCAACCAAAACCAACCCACAACAAAACCCAAACCTGCCCAATCAAAAAATCTGATGAAAATGAACAAAACAACCAACTGAACTTTGAACAGCAATCAAGTCGGTGAGATTTGTTTTCTTCCTGCGATTTGAGTTAATCACAATTACACTGCGTGTGGATTTTTTTTTTTTCCTCTTCTACTCTAGAAGTGAATGCCCTTGTTATTTTCAAGGAATTGACTATCCCCCTGGAGAAACTATTACCTCTTTGGGCAAATGGTAAGATACAAAGCTGTTGTTCTCCCCTCAATGCTTCCCTTTCTACAGTATCTTGTTAGGGTTGAGTTTTATGCAGTGTGCTTGTTTCTTTGCTGAACTGTCACGTAAGGGAAAAGAGTGTGTGTCTTGCTGTCACACATTTTGCGTATGTGAGTGGGTATGCAAACTAAAAGCTTTATGATATGCTAACTGAAATTTTTTATTTGGAATCTTGATTAGCATGGAGTTCGAATTTTTTTTTTTAGGTTCTAATTATGAGCTGTAGTTCCAGTTGGTTCTGATAATAGTCACAGTAGGTTGCTATTCCACATTCTTATCATATTGCTGAAGCAAAATTAGTTTGAAGCAGCATGATGCTACTGCACCACTGTTGCCTTGTGTGAGCCAAGAATGCTAAAATAATAGAAACACTCACTGTGATATAAATGAGAAAGAACTTCATGATGCAAGATGTTTTCAGATAGATAGTTTGTTTGTGATTCCTGTTAGGAGTGGTTCAGAAGAGACTAAGTTATCTATTTATTGTTATTGTGTTCTGCTTGCAGAAAAGTAATTCCAGTTCAGTACTAAAGATTATTGCAGTTACGATAGCTTTTGATAGTGTTACATTCAACACTGGGGTTTTACCTTCAGCTGTGGGATATCTTAAGAACTGTTGGTGTTACCAGATTTTCACATGAACTGATAGCTTGCTTTTCAGTAAGGTTCTAAGCTGATGGTGAGGAAAATGGAGTGTTTATAATAGTGTTAAGAATGTTCATCTAAGAGTACATACCCAGAGCTTGCTCTAACATATAGCTCTGTGTGTTTAGGATTTTGTTTTATTTTGCTGCTATTGCCCCTGCATTTTTGCTTTAAATAATGAAGATTCTGTTTAATACAGGGCTTGGTTTATTCTTACTGCACTGATATCTTTGAGAGCAGTATAGGGATATATTTTTGTCAGCCCACAAATTTTAATTCATTGTAATGTTATGCAGAAAGCAAAAATTTGAAGTGTAATTAATATTCTTTAGGTGTTAAGGCAATATGTACTTTATCCCCGTTTCTAATATTCAGTGCAAACATACAGTTATTTTGTATTTGTACTATATGCTTCATTGTTTAACAGAAAACATTATTACAGATCGACTTGGCTCATTGCATCTTAATGTATTTTTATTGCAGCCATTGCAGGGATGGGGTGATGAATTGTGATAACAACGTAATAGGTGAGTGAAGGTGGCAGGAGGATGATACTTCTGTTCAAAACAATACCTATCCTCCAATCTCCATGGAACTCCTTGTCTGTAGTAGAAGATGGTACTACTTTGTATTTCTGTGTTGACAGACTGATTCCCGACTAAGTGTTCTGAAGAAATACATTCATTTTAGAATTTTGTATGAGATTTATAGGGGTTCTGTAAAATTAATTATGATTAGGAGAGACAGGCAATTGAGTGTTACTGGATGTTACACTGTCATGTATTTTTGATCTAAATCTACTGCACACGTTTATGGAATACGAAATTTCGGCTGTGAAGACTAATGTGGTATCAATTTCTTCCCCCAGCACACAGCTGCCCGGTTGGACAGATTTATATTAATTGCAGTAATCCACAAGTTGATCCTGAGCTCAGCAGAGAAAGAACTTGTGAGAATCAGCTGCTAAACCTCACTTTTTCAGCACACCTTCCCTGCGTTTCAGGTTGTGTCTGCCCACCAGGGTGAGTACAGACAGGTTTGCATCTTTTGGTACACAAGCACAGATGACTGCCTTCAGCTGTGATCAAGTAATTAATTGTGCTGAGGACATGGCGCTTTGCTCCTTGGAGGGTTTGAGGTGTCAAGGGTTGAGCATCCGGCTTGTGAAGGCTTACCACCAACGATACGGGCTGTTCGAGGTGTAAGAAATGATAAACCAAGAGACGAGTGGAGCCAAAGGTCTAATACCTCACAACGTTGAAAACAAAACATGAGGAGTACAGGAAGGTCATTGAAATAGATCCAGTTCCTGTACTACAGGAGAATTGTGTTTACCTAGATAATTTTTTTTCAGATACCTCCCCTGTTCTTTGAACATTTGACCAAGGCAGGCTTGTTTCTTCATTCCTTGGCATTATTTTCAGTATTCTCTCCGAAAAGGCTGTTTTAAGCCTTAGGTATTTATGCTGAAAATGTGCAGATTAGCTGTTGTCATGTTTTGGAATCAAGCATGGTATTGCTGAGAGATTTTTCAGTATAAAAATAGCAATTATCTATTTAAGTTATGTTGGTTTTAATGGCTTTTAGTTTTTTAAGTGCGTGGCATAAAGTTTTTGAGTATTGTCACTTAAAAATTACTATTCGTGCTTTGAGAACCTCCTCAAAAATGGCTTTTATACTGATAACTATTTCTGATGGGTAAGGAATTACAGCATGCTAAGGATTGGAGTTCATTTCCAAAGAGTAAAGGTACCTTCATTGCAGTGCCCCAAAAAGGCAGCACAGTTCTTTCCCATACTCTTCTGCTCTGCGGACTTGCTGCTCTTTTTTTTATGTTGTCTTTCAATGCTCCTTTACTTCTTGCAATCCCTCCAAAATCCTCAGGGTCTTCTACTGTCTTGCTTGTACTAGCTGCAAAAAAAAAAATTTTCTCTAATTTTTATTTTCCTGTACTTCACAGTAAAACATTACCAGTGCAATTCAGATACTTGAGCACCTTTTTATATTACCTTCAGCAGTGCGTTGTAGGGCCATAAGTGTTTATGGCTGCATAAGTCGGTTGGTGGTTAATCAGGGAAGAGGAAGGTGCTGTGCAACACACAACCTGTTGAAAACTGCTGCGGTGGAGGCTGCAACAGAGTTCTTTTTCGGTGTTTGGATCTGGATTTGTGGACTTAGCAGAAGAAAAGAAGCATTTGACTCACAGTAGACACACTGCTTCTAATGATGCCTTTAGCACGACTGTTCACATAGTTGTGTTTGCGTGAAGGAACGAAGCTGTAGACAATAACGGTGAGGTGTGTTAGCTGTCACTGGGTCTGGGTGGACAGTAAGTATAGGTGTCAAGAAAAGTTGAAAGGGAGCTGTGCAAAGCCTCTATAGGGTATTTGTGGTGAATTCTTAGATCATTGAAATCTATCCCTTTGCTTGACTTTACAAGAGAGAGAGCTCTTGTCATGTATTTTAGCCACAGAAATAACTTGAGGAAGAAACCTTGTCAGTGTGATGCTCCTTGTGTCTGAATTGTTCCCTGTTCAGTTCAGAGTAGCTTTAAACCAGCATTTTCACAGTTGATTATCTTCAAGTGACACAGTACTTAAAAAAAAGTATGGATTACAAAGAGCACTTTGCATACCCTGGGGGGAAATTACAGATTTTCAGTTTAATGGGAGAGGGTGGGTATGGTGTCTACACATTCCCATTAAGAAGAGCTACAGTTATGAATTTCCATCTGATGAATAACAGACTGAAGAAGAGTCACAGAACACAAATTGCCAGTTCATTAATGTGAGTAAATAAAACATTTAATGATAAATGAAATTATGAAATCTTTCCTTTTGGATAAGAGGGAAACAAAACAGTGTAATCACTGTCACAGATATGCCTCACACCTACAGTCTCTTGTCCACGGTGCCATATCTTAGCCAAATTTGTTTTCTTTGGGAAAACTGTTTGAAACACACACACACACACACACACACACACACACGTATATGTGTGTATATATGTGTGTGTGTGTATATATATATATAAATAAAAGATTTGCATTAATACAGAGGGGCACAGAAATTCTAAGCAAACCTTAATAATGAAAATATCAGCCTAACAGTACAATTTTAAGATAATATTTCTTTCCCAATATGAATACATTTCAGAACTTAGCATTTATAAATGGGGTAGCTGTAAATTGTTTGATGCCTGTACAAAATCCTTGTACTGTGTCACTGGCATATTAGGTGCTTCTGTATTGAACAGGATTCTGTATAGGAACAGATACAGAACACAAAACAGATTGGGGCTGCAGTAGTTAAAGACACTGCTGCCACTTATCAAGATTTCATGTTTCACGGTTTTCATTTGACAGATTGCTTTATCAAAGATGTTCTGTATCTGTTACTGGACCTTTAGGTCTTATACTGATACCTGTTTGCCTGTCCGATAACATTATAATATTTTGAAAAAAGGATTCAGTCTTTGTAAAAAATGCAACTTCATTGGGCTCAGTGGAAAAAAAAAACTTTTGAAATAAAATCATTCAGTATTTCTGGTATATTTCCAGGGATTTATTTGTAGAATCTGTTTGATGTATCTCTATATGTAACTCTCATATTTCAGTTTTTCTAGGTGATACTAAAAGCTACACATATTTTCTTTAAATTTTAGAGTAGTTGCTTTATTTAGTGATGCTCGGGAAAAAAAATCCACTATTCTTTCTCTGCTGATGGAATCTCTTTCACAATTTTTTCAAATTTTCATGTTTTATGTGTTACTCTAGGAGTTGTGATTATAAGCACACATTTCTAGCATTAGTCTTGAACTGCAAATAGCTATGCATTTTTTAATCCGTATTCTGAAAATCTCCTTTGAAGCCTGTGGGGTGTATTTCTACCAGTAAAGTTAAACATATTTGTGATTGTTTGCATGAAGGTGCCAGTCATACAGAAATATATACTCAGTTAATTTTGTGCAACCAGGACAGCTCTTTTTATACTGTTTAAATCATTCCTAGAGCAAGAGGTGTAACTACAGCTGTAGGAAAACTATGCAGGAAATGAAAACTCTTTAAATTGGGTGAAGAGAATAAGGAATCTTCATTTGAAAACTCTTAGAATAAATAAATCATGAATTTCTTGATGGTAAGAGCATGTGTACTACTGGAGAAAAGGGGGGTGGTGGCTCCTCCATTTCTTGGAAGATCTCTTGGCTTTAGTTGAAGTTTAGCTAATTGGCTGGTTTGGTGACATGTGAAGGAGGTCTGGAAAATGTTAGTTTCCCTGACCTTAAATTTTTGTTTTAATGGATAAATCTTCACTGGATTAGTGGTTTAAGGGCTAGTGCCCAAAGTGCTGGTGCTTACTAAAGAAAAAATATTCAGGTATTTGTGAAAGGAAATAATTACCAAATTGCTTATATATAATAATTACTAAAATCATGCCTTTTCAATTTCAGAAGATTTTAAATATTACTTGCTTTTCAATAATAATAAGAGTTTTAATAATTTAAAAGTTTAGGAAAGTATTTTTATAGCTAGAAGCCAGCTGTACTTCAGCTGAATGTATGTTTCTTATTCTTTTTTGTGTAGTCTTGTTAAACATGGGGATGTGTGTTTGGATGCAGATGAATGTCCATGTTCGTGGAAAGGAAAGGAATACTTTCCTGGTGATAAAGTAATTTCTTCCTGTCATAAATGGTAAGCACAGTTCTGTTTAGTTGGTTATCTGTGGATTGATTATTCCTTTGTGTTTCTTAATCATAGATTTCACACCAGATTCTGGTAAATCATTTAACCAAATTTGGTATTTACGTTTCTTCAAAGTGCTACTAAAATGACATTTTTAGGTTTGTTGTTTCAAGAAGCTTTTACATAACAAGTTAACAGCTATCCACGATTTTATTTATTTTTTTAAAAAGAGCTTGATTTAGAAAAATGATTTTTACACTTTGAAGGTAATTGAAATTCCTTGGCCAATATTCCTATTGAGGATAAAATCCTTCAAATATTACACCTGCGTGACATTCATTAAATCTTTTTACTTACTCATTTTCACATTTTGCACGGGATCTGAGCAGTCTAAGGACTCAAAACATAACCTTGTGGCCATAAGTATACTCCTACTATAATGATAAATAAAGGAGGATACTGAGCAATATCGCATACTGAGCGTAGTAACAGATAAATTGGTTGCTAATCTTGCGTGTGTCGATAATTTGATGAGACAGTTGGCTTTTAAAGGAATCGTTCCGAGAGAGAAGGGTTGATAGGATCGCACAGATACATGCAACAGCCTGTTCCTTTTCCTGTCAGGTGTTGTAAATGCAGCACAGGCCCTGTAGCTGTGCTACTCCACAAAGTTTCCTCGAGCATTCTCAGTAGGGCGTTACGCTACTGTTTTTATAAGCATCGTGAGAGCTAGGATGTGAAAATAAACCACGTCTGCATGATCCTTAAACTTGTTACATGATGGTCCCTGTCTGTTTTCTTCTCTGACCACTGTTGAATGCTGCAAGCTGGCACCGAGCAGTGCTATTTGTCTTACCAGAGCCTCAGAAAAATCAGCTGTACTGTCAAGAGTCAAGATAATACAGTAGGAGTGTAGCTCCCAGCTTCTCAGCAGAGCAGTTCCTTCCCTTTGTCCCCTTCTTTTAGCTTACCAGGAATGTTTAACTAGTGTCACCTGGTAAGCTGCTGCTCCTGGCCTGCACAGCTCAGTGTAGCTTAGTCCAGTGAAGGCTTGTCCAGTCAGCAAAATCACTGCCTTGTCTGGATGTCATTGCCCCCCTCCAGCCTTGTGCTGACTGCCTACCTCTGCCTCTCGTCAGGTCCTCAGTATCTGCTCTAGAAGATATTTGTAGCGCTTTGGTCGACTGGTGAAGCGACTTACAAGCCATCTCCACTGGGCAGGCAGGTAAAGCGACCCGGGTTATTCACCCCCTTATTTCCAAAGGCCTCTCCAGCTGGACCTGCTGTGGGATTGCTTGCTTCAGAAAGAACTATTACGTCCCATTTAATCTGTATGAGACTTCACCAAAGGCAGCAGCAGTGCAGGCAGAAATACACTTGATATTTAGCCTTTTTTTTTTTTTTTTTCTCCCCTGAGGCCAGGCCAATAGATTAATGTGCAAATCTGTAAGGTTGTCATGACTTTTCTAGTCTTGCATGTCCAGAAGGAGGACAGATTGAGTGGTGGTGGCTTTTTGGCAATTGGTTAGCCACTGAAAGATAGGAAGTCTGCAACAAGCTCTGCTTGATACAAGGTGTAGGCAGTCTGTGAGACTGCTGTGTGCGTATGCAGGGATGTAACTGATACCTCAGGGCAAGAGCGTGTGTTTGCTCCTGCAGAATGTAATACTGCTATGCCAACAAACCCACTGAGGCACTCCCAGCAGCTGTCATGATTTTAGTGGGTTTCAGTACACAGAAATACCATGTGTTGGTACTAAATACCATCTTATATCTGATGTAGTGTTAGAGACGTAACTATTAATCCGTTTTGTCTGTTGAACAGTTAAGAAATAATTTTATTTGCTATTTTAATTGACGAAACTACCAGTGGAGTGCCAGAGCTTTTCAACCCAGGCTCTGGGGTCTGGCTGAGCTGTGATTATAGGTTTCCCAAGTTTGTTTTTTGGGACAGCTGCCTGGAATTGTTGCCATGTGCTGACAAGCTTAAAGACAAAAGATCATTATGCTAACGAAGGCTTCAGAGGAGTGTTTCGGTGCTGTCTTATAATTAGAGCAATTCTTCTTAGTCTCTGTGGGCTGCTGAATCGGGCCTTCTGTGTTCTGAAATACTTCTTAAAAAAATTAATTCAAGTTTAGAAGATGGTAGGAGCTCTTCCAACTAGGGTTCTTTAGATTCTGGTAACTATTAGGCTACTTATTATAAAACCAACTTATTATAAGACCAGCGCAGAGACCTTCGAAGACGTTGTGCGACTCTTAAGCCATCCCTTCTGATGGGGTCTCAAGACTCCTGAAGAAGATGTGCGGAAGAGCTCCCTGCTCTTCACACATTAGGAAATGTTTCTGCACGAACCCTTAAAACAACAAAAACCATTTTATAAAATGACTTGTGGATGCAGGAAATGCAAAGCTATCCATTTTATAAATATCTTACATTGTTTCTGAAAACCTTATTTAGATTGCAACAGGGTAATGCCGAAAGAGGCAGTATCCAGTGTGACATCCCTGTTAGGCAGTTGTAAAGCCAAAGGTAATTCAGAAGGGTCTGAACAGTCGCTTGGTGTAGGTGTGACAAAAACGTTTTTATACTTAGGGTGAGCTTGAACTCTTTTGGATGCCCCTAAACTTTAGGTTAGGATTTGGGAATGATAATACCTAGGCATCTAGGGGGGAAAAAAATAAAAAAGCCTAGTGACACAAACTATGATTCCTTTAAAGAACCTGAGCACCAAAATCATGCTACTGAAATTTTTCCTTTGCACTTCTATGAAATTCTTGTTCAAGCAGAGTGAATTAAGACTGTGATAGTGGGACACATTGATTCTAAGATTCAGCTCATATAGAAATAAATGTTCTGTGAGAAGCTGAAAATGAAAGGTTTATCTTTGTGGCATGTTATTGTTGTGAGTTACTAGAGAATAAATTGTGCTTTTTTAGGTGACATCTTTTGTTTTCTTCCTTCCACATAAGAAATGCCCTTTTGATGTGTATATGTTCTGGAATTTATAAATTCTAACAGGAACAAACACACTGAGTTCAAGATACACGTGTGTTTTTTTTTCTTCTTTTTTTTTTTTTTCCCCCTAGAGAATCAATTATTAAACGCTACTTCTAGTTACCATTTCAGAATGCTTCTCTCCACAGTCATCATATTTACATGGCTTTTGACTTCTTTGCTTCTCAGTGCAATAGCTGTAATTGTTTATCTGTGGTTATGGTTGATATTACCCTTATTGGTGCTACATTTTTCAGCGTTTGCCAGCACGGATCGTTTCAGTGCACCTTCCGGCCTTGCCCGTCCATGTGCACTGCCTACGGGGACCGGCATTACAGAACGCTCGATGGACTGACGTTTGACTTTGTTGGAACTTGTAAGGTTTACCTAGTTAAGGTGAGACTTGTTTGCAAAGCCTCTGGAGAACTGGATTTAAAAACTAGCTGTTAAAAGCTACCCTTCTGCTTATTTCTGGTCTGTACACTTTGAGTCCTACGTACTGTTCTTTAAGCTTTGTTGCTTAGAGTTTGAATTATACGTAACAGAATTATACACAGAGGTTTCTGCTAGTTGTATTATGTAACAATATACATATCAGTCTATTTAAATGTCTTTTTTTTTTTTTCAGGGTACTTCAACTACTTTTTCTGTTATTATAGAGAATATTGACTGCTTTAATACTGGAATCATTTGTAGAAAAAATATTTTCATTAATGTTGGAAAATCTTTGGTAATATTTGATGACGAAACAGGAATTCCAGTAAGTTTCAGTCATTAACACTGATTAAAAGGTAGTATGTACACTTCTCTGAGTCTTTTTTTGCCTTGTTAGCAAAATCTTACTGTGCCACTTAAATAGCAGAGGCGTAAATATTTTTACCATGAATGCTGATCACATCTATTTTCTTCAATGGAAATGTTAAGCAAAACTTTGTCTATGTTTTTCAAAAATGTTAGATGAGATGATTGTAATTTTGTTTAGACTTTATTTTCTATTTATTTTCTGTCTTATAAAAATCCAGATATTTTGAAGTTGGTGTGAGTTTTGCTATTGATTCCCTAGAACTAAGAGTTTAGTTTGGTCTAGATTGTATAGAAGGAATATTCCTATACAGTTGGAAAAAAAAAAATACTAGTGACTGCAAATTTTATTTATTTATCCTCCACAGCCTGAATTTAATTTTTGTTTTGGCCAAATTGCAAACTATATTGCTGTAAATATTTAGTATTTGTAGTAATTTTGGTATAAGTAGTACTAAGCACCATTTATAGAATGACTACGTAAAGGAAGTTGTGTGTCTTTGTATGAGGTATCGTATAATAAAACCAGGTATCTGTCTTAGTCCCTGCTACAGATAATTCAGAATCTCATTGCTATTGGATAGAGACAAGAATTCTTTATGTAAATGTGATGGCAATCTCTGGATATAGTTAAACAGTTCCTTATTTCAAGGAGATGCTCCAACCATCTCTGTACTTATCCGTATTCAAAGAAAGCACATGGCTAAGACATGAATGCACTGATGTTTGAGTGAAAATCATAACCAGGAACCTGATGAACTATTAACATTTTAATCTTGACTCCAGTTGCTGTAACTCATCCTTTAAATTTGATATAAAATCAACTTTCAAAATAGGGAAATCGTAAAAATAGAACACAGTTCACGATCAAAATTCAGACCAGTTTTGCCTTCTGTCACTTTTTGGACCTGTGTCTGAGAAAAATGTCTTTCATTTTATTTAGGTGTTTCATTTCTTGTGAAGTGAACATTTTGTGAAGACATTACCTACTTTATAAGCAGCCTTGTTTTATTTTGAACAGAGCTTATCTAGTTATGTAGACGAACTACAGAAAATACAGTTATGGAAAGCTGGATTTTTCACTGTCATTCATTTTCCTGATGAGCACATTACCATTCTTTGGGATCAGAGAACAACAGTTCATGTACAGATGGGTCATCAGTGGCAGGTAAGTGGAAGTCAACAATGGTATTGCCATTTCTTTGAGGTATTTATGTCAGTCTTGTCTTAATAAGTTATCATTATTCAGAGAATAGATAATGTGGAACTCGTGTAGTGACTCACTGGCAGAGTCAAGGAGAGAAGCATTCAACTGCCTTGTCAATTAAAAAGTTCATTCTCATTTTTTGTGGGTGTTTTTAATTTTTTTTCCCCAGTCATTTACTGTCTTAGCTTCTGTAACAAGAGAAACAAATGTCTTTGAGGCAGCTTTCTCCTTCGCTACTGGAGCAGGTGTTATTTTTTTGCTGGAATATAAGAAAACACATAATGAACAAACAGGTCATTTATCTGAACAAAAGATTAACTCCTGTGTCAAAGGCCTGGAGATACTTAGTTGAAAGGGAATAATACTGATGTTGTCAAAATAAAATTTTCCGTAGCTTTACCATGAAGAGTTGAACTGTTACAGCTGAAATTTAGCTGAAAAGGATCAAATTCCTGACATTTATAATTAAGCAACTGAAGACTGGAACTTAAGCACGTTTTGACAATGGTTGTGGCTCATAGTGTTTTGTATCACATGGAAATATACTTTTAAATATATATAAACATATTTCTATATGATGTATTTAAAAACTTTACCATATGATATACATATCTCATATATATGTGTGTATGTATGTACACATATATATGTGTGTTTGTGTGTCTATCTGCTTTTTTTCCCCACAGGGTAAATTGGCTGGACTATGTGGAAATTTTGATTTGAAGACAGTAAATGAATTGAGGACTCCAGATAATTTTGAATTAACAAACTCACAAGAGTTTGGAAACAGCTGGACAGCTGTGGAGGTACATAGTAAAAAGAATGTATTTGCTAGTAGGTTTTTTGCTGTTACATCATATAATTTATTTACGATGAAATCAGAAATTCACTCCTGGAAGTATTATCATAGAATCATAGATTCATAGAATGGCCTAGGCTGGAAGGCACCTTAGAGATCATCTAGTCCAACCTCCCTGTCATGGGCAGGGATGCCACCTCTCGACTAGATCAGGCTACTCCAGGCTCTGTCCAGCTTGGCCGTGAACACCTCCAGGGGGTAGTCAGACAGCAACACAAATGGTGGTATCAGTGGTTCTTAGAGATACCACGATCTATGCTACAGAGTAGAGAAAAATGCTGTAAAATATTCTAAGTCTACGAGTGTTTTTGAAGACGTTCGAACAGTGGTCATTTTTCCTGTAATGGAAGAATTGAGAATTCTCTTTAGGCTGTGTCAGTTTAGCTTCCTTCCAATACCTCAAGGGAACCTACAGGAAGGCTGGGGAAGGACTTTTTACAAGAGTGTCCACTGGTAGGACAAGGGGAAATGGGTTTAAGTTGAAGGAGAATAGATTTAGATTGGACCTTAAGAAGAAATTCTTCAGTACGAGGGCGGCAAGACTTTGGAATAAATTGCCCAGAGATGTTGTGGCTGCCCCCTCCCTGGGGGGGGTGAAGGCCAAGGTGGGCGGAGCCTTGAGTAGCCTGATCTAGTTGAGAGGCGTCCCTGCCCATGGCAGGGAGGTTGGACTAGATGATCTCTAAGGTCCCTTCCAGCCTAGGCCAGTCTAGGATTCTATATAGCCCTTCTTGAATAAAACTGGTCTTTCGTAGTTGGAAATACTTAACTCTGAAACTGTACTGGTAGAAGGAAAAAAAGTCGGTAAACTTAAAGGAACTTTTTGTATGTTGTGTCTAGTGGTGTTTGTAGAAGTGTTCCTTCACCATCATCAGAGTAAAAAGATGTCATTTCTGACACTTACTGTATGTTGTCCAAGTGAACATTGTTATTTACGTAAGCTACGCTTTTTCGTTGTGAGGACTGCAGATGGGGACTGCAGGGGCAGCTCTGTGTACACCTGTCTGTATCTCTGTGGTTTTCTGCTGCTCTCAGACAAATGAAACGTTGCTTCAGATTGTGTACTTTTCTGCAGATTATCCCCTTGTAATTCTGTATCTTAGTCTGGCTTTAGTGTCATAAATGATGCATTTGTTTTGTATTTTTCATCCCTTTTTTTAAAAAACAAAACTGTGCTTCGCAAGTTCGAACACTAAGTGGTTATTGAACTGGTTTCTCACCTTGATTTTGCTTTCTGGTTAAGTGTGTTGACAGCTCTGACATTCGAAATCCATGCAGTTTGAATCCCCTTAGAGAGCCATTTGCCAAGAAGGAATGTGGAATTCTGTTAAGTGAAGCATTTGAAGCTTGCCATCCAGTGGTGAGTGGGGGTAAAGAGTGATGTGAAAGTGAACATGTCACTAGAGAGAAACTTTACTCTTCAACTTGCGTCACTTTAAATCTTCACCTTGTCTTCCATAACGTAATAATCTTGGCTACTGTAACAAACTAGAACACCCATAGCTATTCGGGTTCTAAAATGTGAATATTTAACTGGACCTGTTATAAGGATTATCTGCACTAGACAGTAGCCACTGGACACAAGTTTAACACTCTGCAACATAGATAATCCTGTTGGTACCCTCTGTAATTAATGCAGACAAAATTCCACCTGAATCGTGCTAATTTCTTTTTTTTTTCATTCTGAGCACTATTCACATAAGCATAGCAACTTGCTTTGTTTTGCTCAAATGTATTACGCAGTATGCACACTTTTCAGGCATATTTTAAATAAATTGACAGTTTCTTTGAGGCAGTATCAGATATGAAGAACTCAATCATAGAAAAAAATGCATGTATGTCCTTATTCAGGCAACCACCTAAGGAAATATATGAGCCCTACAATGTGTTCTGACAGCCACAGGCTCAGGTTCAGTTGGAGAATAAGGAGGAGTTGATCTTCGATGGAAAATTTTGTATCCCAAGATACTCAGTTATTGAGACTGTGTGCATGGCTTATAGAGTGTAAGTGTCAGAAAGGTTCCTATGGAGAAAGTAGATTTCATATGAAGGACAACCAGGAGTCTTTCAGGGTTGCTTTGTATCCAGGTGTGGAAGAAGTGGGGAGCTCATGTTAAAGCTATTAATGCAACAGTCCTGTATAACACAGGTAGCAACTAAATTCCTCATGAATCTGTAAGTGTTATTCAAATGTAAGTCCATGTAGGAAGTGTAACAGTTCAATAAGGAAATCAGCTTTGACAGGAGTGGATTTTTTGGAATCTTACCAATTCAAAATAAGGGGAAAAGCTACAAAGTGAATTTGTGATTATGTTTTAAATGTTACAAAACCATGCACAACTCAAGTTCATGTCAACATCTTAGTGAGCATGCTCTTAATGGGTCATTGATCTATTTGTGTTGCTAAGTACTATATAAGATTTTGATTTGTTCTAATAAAGCATTTATTGTGTTTTAGGAAACAATCTTTGATGCTTCAAAGACTTATGTATTAAATTTTGAAAGAGTCGTAGCTTTATATTGAGTTGATTGTTGCTCTGTCTGTCTTTCTGATAAGTGATACTTGTATTTCCAGATTGATGTCACCTGGTTTTACTCAAACTGCTTGTCAGATACGTGTGGCTGTAACCAAGGAGGTGACTGTGAGTGTTTCTGTACAAGTGTATCAGCGTATGCACACCAGTGCTGCCAGCATGGAGTTGCTGTGGACTGGAGGTCCCCGAGAGTGTGTCGTAAGTTTATTTAACTGGCATTGCCAGGGCTGCCACATCTGTAAAAGCAATCGTGTGAAGTTACCTGTGGCCATGAATTAAATCACTAAGCCACATTGGTACTCTTCTGCTGTTAATTCTTTGTTCCGTGATGTGAAAGTAAAAGACAAGGGAAGGCCATATCGGGATACAACGTGCATCCCTCAAGCCAGAGTTGCAAAGGTATGTAACAGCTCAAGTAATTTCCACCTTCCAGAGGACTTCGTAACAGAATCTAGAGAACATAGCTGCCTTACTGCTGCTCCCAAAAGAAGTGTGAAATGTAAAGGTCTTCTGAAGGAAAACAAGTAGTGTTTTAAGCAGAACTTTGTCATTACCTTAATATTCCTATTCAGCAACACTTAAAAGCTGTAGAAAACATCTAAGGCCTTTTACTATGGTGCCTAGTGCTAATGCCTTACAGGAGACCGTTGTTTCACCAAAGATATTATTTAAAAAAACAAGACAGAAAATGGAGGAGAAGCACTTTTCTAACTTTACAATTGCACAGAGAGAGTATGCAACTTGGTCCAAGTCCCACAGCAAATTTGTCGTAGAGTGAGAGTGTTGCTCTTCTTACAGAAATGATACACGTATGCGAGTTATCAAAAGACAGCAAAGCTTACCTTAACCACTAGAGGTCACAAAAAGACAGCTGTAGGTATGTAAGCTTGGTTATTTGCTGCTGAAAACAGTACTTTACTTAAATCAATATGGTTTATTTTATTCAGAACAGAAAGTAAGTACTTAGCAATAATTTAATAGAAGTTTGTAGTTTGTGTATGGTCTAACTTGATCAAGCATTTGGCCTACTCCTTAACCATAAAGGGTAGTAGAAAAACCTGTATATCTGCAGAATCTCCAACTGCCTTTTCTTTTTCTTTTCTTTTTTTTTGCAGCTTATGATTGCGAGTATTTCAACAAAGGTGAGTCCTGAAGGTGCTGGTAAAATTCAATAGAATCTTCGATTTCTCTATAAAAGTCTTAGTATTTTGTATAAAAGTCATTCTGTTAATGAAAACAATAGGGAATGATATGCTATTTAAATAGCCAAGATTCTGGTTTACTGGCTTATTTTGCTTTTTCAAAAGCTTTTCATTCCATAGTCTTATTTCTGGGCCTTTCCCAAGAATGTGTGTTTAACTCGTTTTTTTACATTTATGGATCCTGATTAACCAATTAAATCATTAACTAATTAATAGACTATTCAGCTGAACAGCAGTCCTAGCTAGGGGTAGCACTTGCTTAAGGTGTGCTGCAGTTCACAATTGACAAGATACTCGATGGGCTGGGTAAACCAGTCACAATCTCCTGCACAGCCTCTGGAGGGAGCCAGCTATTAAGGTATTAACGACTTCTTGTGCCCAGAAGGGGACTAACTCTCCAGTTAGGTGTGTCGGAGCTAGCTTTAAGCTCTTGAGTGACAAGCATTGCTGCTGCATTAGAATAGCTCTGGGAGAGAGGCACAAAACGTGTCTGAGGTGCTAGAGCAAACCTTGAATCTGTGCTGGGTGCTGTGCTGCTGTGTTAACGCTGGAGTCTGTATCCACACAATTTTAAAGTGACATTGTGAGTGTCTACATAGTTAGACGTGGCATACGTACAAGCCCTGCAAGCCAGCCCAATGTGAGGAATCTTCAGGACTCCAGATATTTATTCTAGAGTTTTAATCAAGCTCCTGTAGAAGCCTCGCTATCCAAATGGTTTGTGTTATTTTTGTTTTCTGTTAGACTCTATATTTTTCAGCAGCTTACCCCCGGAGAGATCTCGGAGAAGGACTGGCTTTTAATTAGAAGAGACTTGTACAGCGTGCCAGGCCCAAACGATATGGCCAAGAAATCTGTGTTTTCTCACGTACCAACTGCTGAAAAGATTTTGAGTGGGGTCAAATTGTTAATGCAATAGAGTTTGATCTAAATCATTGAGTCTTTAAATGAACTTAAATAAAGGCAAATTGAATGTAAGAGTGATTGCAGTTTTACATTTCCATGTTTAGTCTGATACTGGATAACCTTAGTGCAGTGCCGCTGACATCTGTGGTAGTAGCCAAGTGAAGCTAGATGACAACACAGACTTTTACTTGTTAATGAACTCTCACTGACAGAAATTAGTTGAAATAGTGGAGTTGTGTATGTGACCAGCTTATAAAAATGGTTATCGAGTGCTTCTCAGGCATAGCTTGCTATTGTTTGCTGATCCAGTTCATCAGTATTCAAGAGAGGATGTTTTAGAGATGCCAATGGGGAAAAAATCGCTGCTAAGCTCACGGTTTTCTTCTCTGCCTCAAATATGGTAGCATTCACCAGAATTAGTTTTGGAGACAGGAAGGTTGAGAAACTGTCTGAGACCAGAGAGAAGTTTTTTCTTGATGTAACTGTCACAAGTGCAGTGTGAAATAGTTCTAGTCTTACTAGAAGCAGAAGCTTTATGTCTTTGGTAGCTGTGGCTTCTTAAGTTTTGGATGAGCCTGAGATATGAGACTTAAACGTATAACAGTATTTCCAGAACACTGGATGTTTTAAGTAATTTTAAAAATGTTTTTCAGCTCCCTGCACTCTAGGTAACCAGGTGTCAGTGTACATGTTTAGCTAGGCATGGGCTTGTGTCCAAACTGGCCGCCCATTTATGCCACTGAAACTTTGCTTGTAGTGCAACCTCCATAGGGTTTCAGAACTCGTAAGTTTGAAGATTATGGAGAACCAGATTATGAGGGTAGGCTGCAAATTGCACTGCAAGCTTTTAACCTGTTAAAACAGATTTTAAGGGTCAATGGTATTGGCTGCAACTATCAGCTGAGAAGTTCTGGGATGCTTCTGCCTTAGATGTAGTGAGGTGAAGTGCTCCGGTGTGGTTTGGAATGTCTGGGTTTAACAGAGGTTTACCAAAAGAATTTCAAGTAACATTTGAAAATAAACTTTTAAAATACTTTGCTGCAGTGACATTGGAACAAAGTGTGGAGTTGTGACATCCTAAGATTTATGAAAAGATAACTCTGCATGCTTTTGACTTTTTAACTTAATGGTAAAATACAACCATTCCTTTGCTTATGATGTTGATCTCTTCCTGTCCAGCTTCCCAGTGGTTATGTTTGTGTCTGCACTGTTCAAGGAGTTCTTTGATACTTGATGACACAAACTTTTATTGCCTACAAAATACCTCACACTTTGGACACTAATAAAATAGATTTTTAAGAACATTAAGAAGGGTATAATCTGTTCAACCATACAAATAAACAATTTAGAGAGATCTCAGGGTGGTCTATAGAACACTGTTTACTTCTAAATCAAATAACCAAGGGATCAGCTAACTTCAATAAAGTGACTGTGAAACCAAAGTGGATTAGAGAGGAGAAGAAGAAGCTAATCATCAGTCTTGAAAATTTAAACTGGGCATTTTGGGCAGTTTTCAGAACAGGTACTTTCTAAAGGAGTTTGGCAATGTTTTGGTTGTCATTATAGTTTACTGCACAACAGCTAAATTTATTTTCGGAGTAGAGGGCTGTGTTTTTCTTTATGTGCTTTGTCTTAATATTTAGAGCTCAAGCATTTGTGACACTTGACATGAAAGATAATTCTGATTTATTTATTTGTTTTTCTCAACAGCTCTGGGAAAGGGCCCGTACAAACTGGTCAGCTATTTGGATGGAGGATTTGTACTGGCAGTGAAACTGGTAGATGGTGTTCTTTTCCCAGCGAGAGAAGATGATGTTGTTCCTGGACATGCAGTGAGCTTTATGCTGACCTCAGGACTTTATAAACCCAAAGCACATGGTAAAAACACAGTAACTTAGAGGCTTAAATAATGCAGAGCAAATTTTGCCCTTGAATATGAGCCCACATTTAAGAATAGGCATGGGTGAAAAAAATCTTTATCTATTAACTGACCGTGCACCTTTAATCTGCCAAAATTTTCATTTGGTTAGTTTTAGTTAGGTGATTGTAGCTTTTACAATAGATGCTTATGGTTGAAACCTCCCCTGCCCCAACCTTCAGAAGCACCAATCAGAGATTTAGCCCAGTGCTCTAGGTATGATTTTTCTCTCTCCACTTGTCCTTTGGCAGAGCTAGAGTGGGTGAGAAATGACACAAGAAAAGTACTCCCTCATTCAACCACTTTGCCACCATTACTCATTGTCTGCCCACTTGTATGGAGATGCCCCATAGGCACTGACCTGAGCCGTGTAAGAGTAGGCGCTGTGACTTTGTCTCCTTCAGGTCCTGACTTAAGTTTCCACTGAAGGAATGTGTTGCTTGTTCAGCAGAAGAAGGAAGTCCTGCACACCTTCAGACTGGTGGAGAAAGCTTACAAGAACGTTCACCACTTTGTGTCATTGATTAAATGCTAGAGTTGTCTTCATACACAACTTTTAATGGCCACAGAGCACTTGAGTCTCAGTGCAGTTTTACTGCCCAGAGTGCCATGTTCAGCTCTTTGGCTGCTCTGGAGGTGGCTGACTCTGTAATCAAAGAAGGGATATGGGTCAGTTAAAAAAATGACAAGCATTTGATTAGTAATACTGCTGTCTGTAGAACTGACACAAGAACTCATGTAACAGAATATCCAGGGCCAGATTTCTTTTATTAGTCATAGTTTTGAGACAGTTGTACATCATGTTCAGTTTAAGTTTGGAAAGGGAAGGTCAGTCCTGCTGTTCTATTCCTATATGAAAATCTCTTGCTCGGAATTTAACCTGGCAAATAAAATTTGTCCCTTATAGTCCAATTTGAGCAACTGACATTTAATCATGGAGCTTAGAAGAGCAATGCGATATTTCTCATATCCAGAGCTTTCTTCATGTGACATTCTTGGTTCTTTGGTACGCCAGAAAAAAAGATGTTTCTTGGTTTCAGACAAATAATAGACAAGGAAAAGTCTTGAGTATTGATGCACTGATTGGCTGTGTGGTAGGTATTACAAATCACACCGACTCTCTGTTGTTATTTAGCAAATAGCTACTTTATACAGACAGTTAATCATAAGATGTTCACAAGTATCACTGTTTTCCAGATTGAGATTTTTACGCTCAGCAAACAAGTTGGTCTTCCAGAAGTGTTATAGCAGAATATGATACTATATCTGTTTAATAGAGATCATTTGTTTTCTATGCATTCTTTTTTTTCAAAAAATGCTACCCAGGCCTTGAAGGTTAGTTGGTTTTACAGTAGTTTAATGGCTGTTTGCAAGAGAATAGCAGAGTTTGCAGCAAAATATAATGAAGTCATTCTGTGAGCAACAGACGCCTGTAACAGGCTTTATATCTGCCACTCTGCAACTAAGGCTTGCCTGAAATCAGCAGTACTGTTTTCAGGGTAAGGTATCATGCGGGTACATTTGCCAGAAAACAGACTTTGCTGTTAGCGTTCTTAGGGCAAGAGCTAGAGAGCTGACTGCTTAGAAAGCTGAATGCAAAATAGAGCTTTTGTAATTTATTTTTAGTAAAAGGCTGAGATCTTAAACTATAAATTTCTGATGTCAAATGTTACTTGTAAAGCTAGTTAGATTAAGTTTAATTTTTTTATTAAATAAATGGCTTAGTGAAGGCTGTAAACTGAATTTCAGCTTGACTGCAGAGCAGTGTTCTTTTATCCTAGTGTGGGCACAAATCTTAATCTGCTTGTATTCCTGTTGAAATCTGTAGGGTGTTTAGAAAGCTATTTATATGTCCATTAGAATCAAAAACTCTGAAATCCATATATACTAATTTTCTTAGAAAGTTTAGGCTATTTTCATTGATAAGGCCAAAGTTGCTCGTGCTGCTAATACGGTAAGAGTTTAGTAAAATGGGAGAATAAGTTTAGTCTATTATGCATATATCAGCAAGCAAATGACTTCTCTATGGTTTGTTTTTTTCAGATTCCAACTTGATTTCATTTGAAACAGCTGAGAGACCAAACTATTTTCTTCAATTGGTCTCCAATAATACTCTTGTTCTTTCTAAATGGAAAAAAAGTGAAGAATTTCACAACAGATCCACCTTTGTTATTCACAAGAATACGTGGCTTTCAGGATACAGTTCCTTTGAGTCATTTGCAAAACCAGGATACTTCATCCATGCTTCACCCTCTTCAGTTGAGCTTTTGAAGTATCATCATTCTGAGGAGTTTCGACTGTCAACCCTTTTTAAACTTGTAGGTAGGTAATTAATGTTGTGTTTTATGAACAGCAGTTTGCTCCCGGTGAAAGTAACGCCTAAATGGCTTTGATATTTTCAGAGGTGATGCAGTTGTTTTTCTCCTCTGCCTCACTGGGAGCTGTGGGTAATCTGTGACATGCGAGCTCAGAATCGTCTTCCTTAAACTTTATAGTGAGGGATGAGATTCTGTTTTCCTGTCAGAAGCCATTAAATAGCTAACACGCAACTTCGCTCTATTTGCCAGTTAGTTTTGAAAATACTTAGCCTAGTGTATATTTTCTGCCATTACTTGCTTCATAGGTGTTGAGGAAATCCTTAAGGAGTAGCACATTAATGCTGACCAATAGTGGATTCACAAAGTGAGTAGTGAAGAACAGAATCCATCTCTGAGAGTTAAGGCCTGTGCGTGACCTTTCTCCTCTTCTCTCTCTGCCGCCAGGGGAAGGCTCTCTGTACAGCGCCCTCATTGCAAGCTTCCTGGCCTCCTCTGAGCTCACGCTGTCCAGTGCTAAGGACACTGCCTGTAGATTACACCTCTCACACCTCCAGTTTCCCCTGAAAAGCACCTTGATGTTTATCCAAGTACCTCTCCTGGAGGCTCTGCCTTTTGCCTTGTTATCCCCTATGTTTCAGGCGCCCTCTCAGTGGAGATACCTGCCTTTTCTTGGGGATCTAGGTGTCCATTTCTGTCACATTTCTTGAAGAGCCACAGCTCTTGGATACACAACATGGACTGCTGTGGGAGTGTTTGTACCTACCTGAGAGATTCCCATTCCTGTAATATTCCCATTCCAGTGAGACACGGGGATCAGAAACGTAGGAGATGCTCTTAGGACCCTTCATAGGAGCTGGATGCAAAAGTTGCTCCTACAAGAACTGGTGGTGGAAAACACATTAAAAAATCACTGCTCAATCAAGCTCTTTCTTTTCCTTACTATTCTAAAAAAAAAAAAATAATAACTGTTTTCACGTATTCTTAAACACTTGGGAACCATGCAATGAAATGAAGATGACCTTACAGGTCCGTAAGATGGAAGAATTTACGTTGGCTTATAAAATAAAGCAAAGGAGATTGTTCATTAATCCATTTGTTTTAGTGTCTGCTTGTCTTGGTACATCAGGTACATGAAACTCATGCATATGACTTCACAAACTTCATTGGTAACTACTGCATGCAGAAATGGTTGGCCTTTCCAAAAGGGCTGGCAATTCCAAAATTGCTACAAGTGTGGTTTTTGTTCTAAAGCTTTTTATTGCACCGTGATTTTAAATGCGTTAGTAATTTGTTTGTTCAGGCAGCAGCACAATTTTAATAGGTATTCCTGGCATAAAATATTGTATTATTTTTGATATTATAATAAAATATTAATTCACTTTAAAAAAACACTACTTCTTGATTCTCTGAATCTGAAACTTGTTTACAAGCAAAGAAAGAAAATGGAATATTAGAACAAATGAAGCACGGCCTGGCCGTGTTTTACAGTGAGTGTGTTGAATCTCAGCAGAGACAAATCTGAAACAGGCACTGACTTCTCTGACAGAAGAGGCCAACTGTATGCCTCGTAGAGTTTCTTGTTATCAAAACATTGAATTAAAGTGTTAATGGTGGCATTGTGAATCTGCCGATGTTTTGCGGTGCATTATGCTGACAGCCTAGTGCAGCTGTTGACTGGCACGCTCCAACTTCAGAAAAAATGACAGATTTTGTCATTGCCAAATGCCTGTTGCCTCTTGACAAATGCTTGTAATCGCAGAGCCGTTGAGGTTTTTGAACGGCAGAATTGTGGAGCTAATGCTATTACCAGGATATTCGTACAGCATTTCAAGCAAGGAACTTTTTTTGGACATAACAAAAATATCTCCTTAGTCTTTTATCTTTGAGAGAGGAATGAAGAAGGTTAAAATGTGTTCCAATTCTCAGTGGTCATCCATTAACACAGAGTGGTATGTCTTTTCGAGTGCGAAGTCTTTACCCTCCAGTCATTATACCAAAAAATCTTATCTATGCCGATGGAAAACTAAAACAATTTACCTCAGCAAGTGGGATCAGATCAAATGATCAAGAGGCATTTCATTAATCACCACATCCGAGGGTTTGGATTTCAGAGTTTTATAAGCAGAGAAACATAGGGCTTGAATCTTTCTCCAGTGTACTTTCACAAGGGCCAGCCTGCTGATGTAGGGTAATTACATGGTCTAAAAATACAGCAGCATTTGTTTAAGTTAATGGAAAAGTTACACCAGCTCCAGAGTGCACAGGCAAAAGCGTGCTGACTGTTGTAAATGCTTTGCATATTAGATCAGAAACTCTTGAACTGGGAACAGCTATTCCTGCGGAATCAGAGGATAAGTATCGGGAGCAGAATAATAGGCCCAGTAAATCCCCTTGGCCAGAAAGTTCCTCATGAGATGATTTCGTGCTGTGACGCACATTCAAAAGGAAGAATTTTAAATGACCTGAGCACCACAGCAATAGATACATGTCTGCTTAAAGTCAGCTGACGAGTCACTTTTTCCAGTTTCCTTGCAATAAATACTGCCACGCTGAAATACTTTGACTATAAATTGCGCAGATATGATGGGCTAACACTGCAAAGCATTTTCTGTAAAAAGTCACTTCATCTTTTAAATTGGGTTGTTTTCATATTTAGATTTGTCTACTTTCCTGTTCCCACAAACATTTGAGGGTTTGAGCTGATAACTGAGTTTGAATATCCGGAGTATACTTACAAGAGAATACATTTTGCGTTCTGTGCAAGAATTTTTACTGGCAATGGATCAGTTTGCATTCAGTCAAAAGAAAGAATGAGCTTAAGTCTTCCCAGATGGACAGGTGCAGAGGTGTCGTGTAAGAGTGATCAATTCATATTTGAAATTACTGGGAGGTTAGTGGATGTAGGGAATCGATATTTTTATGGATATAGCTGTAGTTTCTTTGCCCTTTTTAAAGATAACGTGCTCAAGCTTGTTACGTTTTACCTTTCATAGAATTATCATAATAGGCTTTACCTTTTTAAGATCAATCACTGTGAGTTTATCATAAATATAAGTGTATGACTTGTCCTACGCAAATTCTGCAGCAAAGTTCTTAATGTTAATTATGTGCTTTAATAGCTAACTTGCTGTAAATACAAGTCTTGTCTCAGAATTTTCAGCTAAAATTAAAATCTCAGGATGCACTAAGTATATACGTGCTGCACAGAGATATTTATCAATGTTTGCCTGATACAGAACATTTTTCGTTCCATACAATGTTTGCGCTTTAAGGAAGCACATTGAAAAGCACAGTACAAAGCTGAAATGGAATTAATTTTAATTAAAAACATCTTTTACAAAAGCATCTTGGCACCTTAAGTCAGGTTTGTGCATGATAGCCTAGACTATTTTCACTTCAACTTACTCTTACCCGTTCCCACCAGTCGAAATTAGTTTTCTGGAATGTCCCATTATGAGTAACAGTGAGTTGCTCTTAAGTTTATTTCGAGCTTGTATGCTTTTTCAGTCCAAAAGATCACGACATGGGACCTGGGATTGGATAATGCAGAGCAACCGGTGGTGTACCTGCATATCCTGGGTGTGTCACTGCCCAGGTCTGCTTGGTAGCTCTTGGAATCGCACTGAGGTCACGGTAGAGTTCTGACATCTCTCCCCTTTACACCACAAACACAAACATTTGACCTCCCATTTTTGACTGAATAAGTAGGAGGAGGTATTATAGTTCCATTAATATGTTAATATAATCATATTCCTCCAGCATTGTAACAGTAAAATAAAGCAAAAGTATTTGAGAGGTAGGAATTACACTTCACTTTCAGTGATGTTTTGACTAAGGACAAAGTTCAGTTTTCCCAGTGATACTTTCTTACGTTTCTCATTGCAGAAACTTAAAAGTTAGAGGCAGAGTTTGTTAGTAGCTTGCGTGTGTTCAGTGGGTAGATAGGATTTCATGTTTCTAAACTCCTAACTGAGGAGATGGGCAATCTGCGTTACTACGCGGAGTTTTGCTGCTGTTATAAATAGAGCTAATTCTAAAGGAAATTGTGTTCCTACAAGAGTTTAAAAAAATATTTGGGAAAAGCAACAAAACAGAAGGAAGTGTTGGGTGAGAATGAAAACCCAGATACCTTATTTTTTCATTACTTTTAAAACTTTTATTTTAAATACCTTTCATTAACATTAGAACACATGTCAACCCGAGGTGACTGTCACCCAGGGCGTAATTTACCATTTTGTGAAGGATTTGCTGTGTCACTGAACGGAAGACAAATGCTGCTAGACTTCACCAGGAGACACGGGGTTATTTTCAAATGCCATGACAAATCCTTTTGAGGAACACATGCCTTACAGAAGAAGCTTGACTCATTGTCTGTAAACCGTGCATCGTGCTTTTGTTGGGAGTGAACTGTACTTTTGCCCAGAGTACAGTAAGCTCGTATTACTGGTTGTTGGAGGGGAAATTTAAGTATTAAAAAAATGAGAAGCATGTGGTGGAGGGGGCTGATGAGCATCCTGGCTGGTGTAAAGTGTTTGCAGGGTGACATGCAAAATCCAGAGTTTCTGAGCTGTGGTGGTTTGTAGTAACAATAAAGCTGGAAGGTTGGTCCCAGCTTTGTTAATGTCTACAATTGTTACAGAGAGCGAAAAAACCATTTTCCTCAGTTTAAGGAGAGGGATTCTTGTTACTGCATTCCTTAAACCCTAATGGTTGTGAGCATTGGAGTCATAGTTAATATACAGATGTACTAAAAAGAGGTAGAATTAATTATTTTTTAAGTATAGAGATAGTTTATTTTCTCTTGGTTCTCTTCTGAATTTATGTTAGTTCAGAACATGTCTGGGCCTCTGTTTGTCCCCATTTCATGGTCTGTCTAATCTCTAATCAGGAACTGCATCTTGCTGTGGTGTTTTCTTTTTTCACAATTGCTTGCACAATCTATGAGAGAGGTCTTTTGGCTGCTTAGGTATTCCAGAAGTCATGTTGCCACTAATGAGAACTTTAAAGATGATTAATGGCTAAACTGACATTCCCCAAATGCTGGAAAGGTGTTTTCCCATAATTCATAGTAAAACACAGATTTCTAGATATTTATAATTTATAGTAAAATATTTATAATTTATAGTAAAACACAGATTTCTCGATATTTGATGGGTTTACTGTGACATACTTGAAACTTCTGAGATACTGAAAACAATCCATGCAGTATATTCAACCCTTGCTGTGGTGATTTAGTTCGTTCTTTTATGTAATTTACGCACTAAAAAGCTAATATAGCTCGTCTGGCATACTGAATTCTCTAAAATCCCTTGACTGGGATTTGCAGTTGAGCGCGAGTTCATTCTTGACCGAAAGTGGTGTTTCTGAGCTCCTTAACAAATGCTATGCCTTTATGTAGAAATTTGCTCTATTTCCTTCAGAGGCGTTCAGCACCAGCAAACTATGAACCTAAACTGTAGGAAAGCTTGAGAAAAACATGGCAATAATTATGTAAAAGTCAAAGTTCATTTGGGGAATGGGAGATGGTGTGTTAATCCCAGCACTTGGACCTGTTAATTCACAGTCACTGTTCTGCTAAGTTAAGCTGTCGTTTTTGTCCGGTTACAGTGTGTCTTCTGCAAATTTGTATGGTTGCTGTGTTTGAACCCTCTGGGATGGTGAGGGTTGGTGGCAGGAGTTACAAGTTACGGATCTGTCTCTGTACTTAATCTAGGGTAGTCTGGTGGATGAGATTTTCTGGATTCTAGTTGCATATACTGTTATTGCCAAGAGGTCTCTGATACGTTCTTCTTGTCATATATTGTCCTTTTGTCCCTAAACCTTACCACTCTGACCTGTCTGTGTATGAAGCTGCATATGTAGTTAGCAAAATGTATGGAAATTATTTCCTTCCTCTATTAGATTTAAGCAATTTAAGTTGATTTCTCTAGAAGATGTTACAGAAGAATTCATTGACACATACTTAGTTTTTTATGGGAATATAACTATAAATGCACTTGTTACTGTCCTGAGAGTTTTGTTTATAAAAGCAGTGGCAAGTTAGATCCTGGGATAGAGTGACATGTAGGTGGGATAACGCTAGATGGCAACATACACGCTCTTTTGAGTTTGATTTATACCTTTGATTGAAAAGTGTCTTCTGTATTTTAAAATAAGACATTAATAGTTAATAACGGCAGAGAGATATTTACCTCTAAGTGCCGACATCCCTAAATTGCAGGAAGAACAATTTATTAGGATCTTCACTGAAAAACTGACTGTCTCCAAGATATGAAAGAGCTACTCTCTTTATTTCTCTGTCAAGCAGAGAACAGCAAAACTTAAAAGCAAAAAGACTTCAAAAAGACCAAAAGTTGAAACTTTTTCTAAGTAGTAAGTGTTTTCTTTCTGGTCATTAGTGTAAAAAACTGCTGAAGAGCAGCAGCTCTTCGTAGGCTCTGAACAGTATCGCTCCAAGATCAGGTTTGCCAATCTAGAGGGGACCCATACATCAGGCTGGTGAGCTTCTGTAGGTATAAATGTAAGGGAAGTGTTGCTGCCCAGCCCTGACGGCTGCAGGAAAGGGCTGGGATGGGAACTTGTTGTTCAGGTACCGAAATCCAGATTAGGTCATGCGGGTGTTCAGTAGCCACCGGGCTGATCTAGGCTTGTGCGGGAAACTGTTCCACATGTAGGTGGGGCAGGGCTGCAGAAAGAGAAAGAGCAATACTGCATTTGAACATGCAAGTTCATGTCACCTACATGTGCTGGCCACGAATTTGTTTCTCTCAGATATTATGCTCAGTCCATTTTCTCTTTACGTTAGCTTTATAAAGTTCCTGCATAATTTAATGCATTTTAGAAGTGTAGCTAATCCTTATTTCCATTTATTCTGACTTTAATGTCTAACTCTTCCTCTATCTACTTTGCATTTCAATGTTGTGAATTTGAAGTCTTTCAGTAAACGCTATCTGCATAAATACTCTGAAAGCAGTTATTTCTTGGTAGGTAGTTTGATTTCATTTGGGTTTATTTGTTCTAGTTTGCCGTGGTGTTTCATTATTAGTACTCTTTTGTCTGGTAGAGTGTATGGTTTGAGTTAAATTTTGCAAGACTACATTTCATCTCATCTGAGTTCCTTTGCTCATTATAGGAGCAGCTAGAATTTCAGATTCAGAATGTTTTGAGGTTTCAATTAATTTCTCTTGGAGTAACTATTTTACACTGCTTTCGAGAAGATCAGCTGCTAAGATGTATTGCTTGAAAGAGCCTAAATTGGCATAATTACTTGTTGCTTCGTTTGGAATGTTATGTCTTTTGGATTTTAAAATACGATTGTATCATTCAAGCTTCGTATGTAATGACACAGCTCTATCTTGCCTGGCTTTTATTTTCCAGTGATTGTAATATACAATAAATGTGTCTAATTCGGTGTTGTGTTTTATACTACAAAAAGAGGCTGGAGAGCCAGCACATTCTAATGTACTCTGCATAAACATAAATTGTTTTTCTATGTTTAAAAGACCTTAGTAATTAAAAAATATTACCATTTTTATTTGTAGAGAATACAGATAGAAACAGTAAGAGATTTAGAGCTGCGGTGAACTTAGAGTGAGTCTGTTAGTGATATATGTCAGTGTGTGTTTCTGGAAAAATATGAGAGTAACAGATCTCCATTGTTTTTTCAGACGTCAAATTTAAATTTCTGTCCCGTTCTACATGTGAATGGCGTTACGATGCCTGTACAAGTCCTTGTTTCAAGACATGCAGGGACCCTTTGGGAAAAAACTGTCAAGGAGTACCGAAGTAAGTATCTGTATTTTTAGGGGCAAGTCGTAGTTTGGGTAACATACTTATGCAGCTTACTAAGAATAAGAAGGACCAAATGTAAGCTCAGTATAGCAGGACTGCGTCCTTGTATAATCATAGAATTGGGAGGTTAGTGAAGGAGAAAAGGACTAAATCCTGCTATGGCAGCTACACAGAGGTGACATTTCAGTTGTTAGGTAAGTGCTGTCAAATTCTGGAATGCCTTTCAAGTAACTTTTCAAGTATTAATAAGAGGAATGATCACAAATTAGTTTCAGGTAGTTGTACCCCTACTTTTTCACCAGCATTGCAACAGCCGTATCTGTCCATGCCTTTTCATCCCAATTGGAATTTGTGCTAAATCTGATGAAAGTGGCATTTGGGTGCTAGTGTGTAAAACTGTTTGGCATTTCTCAAGCATTGGTATTCGCTATTGAACGTGCAGCCGTTCATTTCAAAGGCTCAGTATCTCAGAGTTCATGCTTTAGCTTAGATGTGAGAATGGAAGCCATGCAATGGCATTTTGAAGTAGTACACTGAGGTGATGAAACTTGTATAGAACAAGACTTAAAAATACTTCATATATGCTTAAAAATACTTCGTACATGATTTCTGTTTTCCTGAAATTAAATGCTTGATCTGGAAGATACTGTTAAACCAGTTAATGATAATTGTTTTTCTTTTAGAGTGGAAGGATGCTTTCCTGCCTGTCCTCTCAATATGCTGCTGGATGAAATCACTCAAAGATGCGTGTATTTTGAAGACTGTATGTTTGAAAAATTATCTGTTATGTATGATAGCTTATTAATTTCTTAGGTCTTTAGTAACAATTTTCCAATATAGGAGCTTAAATTTGTGTAGAGATGACCTTAGTCCTATGAATCTTGAGCTCACTAAATGTACCTTTTGGTTAAAATAATTTCACTCCTCAAATCTGAGACAAATATTAAATTTAGAGTTTATTTTTGTCTATGAATTTTAGATGTTTAAAGGCAATCAAAAAGATCAGAGTTATACGAGTTAATGTATAACTCTGTTAGCTTCATGGCTGTAATTGATGACAAATTTCAGACTACTGTTTACTTGTGTGTAATTTCAGGCATTGAACCTGCAGGTGATAGTCTGCCTTTGCCACTCAGCACTCTGACACCAGCAGTTTCACACATGACATCAAGTACAAGTTTGGCAGTGATCGGTGAAGCAGTAACTGCCTTTCCTGTACATGAAGCCAAAGACATGGAAACATCTGCTTCAAAATTGCAACTCACTGCAACTACAGAGAAAACTGAATTTAGTAATGCAACCCTTCCAACCATAACTTTATCATCAAGTGTTTCTTCACAGTCAACAGAAATGTCACTTGGGAGAAGCACTACAGCTGTGTCCCGGACAACAAAATCTAATGTCAGCTTCTCTTCTCCTGTTGACGTTTCTCCGTTGTTTCCATCTACTGTCAGTTCAGAAACTTCCACCAAGATACAACGGATAAGTGGTGGTTCCACTAAGCTATTGAGGGCTACAGAACCTCCAACTGTAACTGCTACACATGCAGTGACTACAAGCATGGAACTGGAAAGCAAACCAATTGCTACTTCTGTTTTTACTGGAACGCCACTTGTATTTAGTGCAACAGAAATACCAGTCAAAACTAAAATAATGGAAATATCAGAAACAGCTGCAAGAACCCTTCCCACAAAAGAAGCACAAGTAAAACCAGAAAGACTTTCAATGTTTACACCCAGTCCATTTGAATCAATAACAGAAAAAACTACTGTGCATCTGCCCCAGTTTTCCACATCACTTCTGAGCATGCCTTCATATACATCACCAGTAAACCTAACAGCAAGTTCAGAAAGGTCAAAAATAAGCATAGGACAGTCTTCTACCACAGTAACTAATGTTACAGTAACATCATTTTCTACTGTGGCCACTACTTTGTTAAAACCAGCAACAACAGATGCAGCGATTGTTTTAACTGAGCAAAGCGTAAAGACTATGTTTTCCCCAACATCCTCACCACCTGTTTCATTAGGAAAAGCAGCTACAGAAGCTCCCCTTGAAATGGTTCAGCACCTGACAGGCACTGCAGAGGTACCTTTCACTACATCTCTAGGTCCAAAGACAACTCTGCAAACTCAAGAGAGGTCATCAGAAACAACTTCATTATCATTTACAACTCAAAAAATGAAAACTTCCAAAACAGCCTCTCATGTGTCAAGTTCCTATTTCCCTCCATATTCACTACGTTCTAGTTCTACAGCTAAAGAATCTGTCACTCTTTCTACAAGAAGACCTTCAATCTCTGTTCCTACTCCTGCTTCTCCAGCTTCAGCTGAATTAAAAAAAACGTTTAAAACTGTTTCAACTACAGAATATCCCTCGTACACAGTTCTAAACACAACAGACTTTCTGACTACATTATACGCTAAATACCCTGTTGTGGCTCAGACGGGCAGAGTGACACCTTTGTCTGTTGAGGTACCATCCCATTTTGAATTAGCAGCAAAGTCAACGTTGTTTTCTGGAAAAGCAGGTACTGAGTACAAGTCACCTCTGGTTTCAAGTGCAGTGAAGACAAGCACCTTGGCATATTCAGGTAGTGTTAGCACATCAGCAATGAAAACCTCTGTCCTGTCAAAAGAAACCACCACAGTTCCTTTTGTAGCTACAGAGGGTGAGTCAGCTCAAAGAACATCTGTCCCTGGATCTCCTCTTGCTGTTCTTAGTGCAACTGAAACCACATTGTTAACAACACAGCCTGATAAATCACAAGTGGAAGGAATTACTAGAATCTCTACTAGGAAGTCGTCTGCTTTCTCTTTTTCACCATCAAGTTCTCTCCTCACTTGGAACATTTCTCTTCCTTCACTACCCTCCTATGGAAAAGAAGCACCACTGACAGCTTTTAGTCCTGTGCATACATCTCATAAAACAATTTCTTTGTATCCAAGAACAACTCTAACAAAATCTGTGTTACCAACAGAAAAGACCTCTCCAGTCCCGACTTTCTCTGTTTTATCCATTATAACAGAACAATCAAGTCCAATAACAACAGTATCTCATGACACATCACGAAGTAAAGGCATTTTGAACGTCACTCATGCCACATCCTCCCCATCCTCTGAATTCAGCAGTCAACTCCTAACAACCAAAAAAGTAATGACAGCCAAAGAAAAATCAACTCTGACTCCTTCTGTTGAACTTCCACTAACAAAGTCTTTTTACACTTTCTCCACCTCTCATTATCTAGCAGATAAATCAATTTCTTCACCTTCTTTAGTGCAAAGGGTACTGGAACTAACAACCACACCAAAATATCCAGTAGAAAGTAAAATAGTTTCTACAGCAATGAAATCTACAGTCCAAAGTATAACAGAAACATTAAAACTTACAGCTACTACAGCTCAGCCGTCCTTTCCTGTGCCTGCAGTAGGCTCCTTGTCGTGGCAGGCTTCAGGAGATAAACTTCCAGTACAGACTGAAAAGACTGTGGTAATACCACATTTTTCTACTCGGGAGGCTTTGGAACTTGGTCATCAGACTTCTGAGCCTCCGTTGACAAGCCAAAGCATTACCCCAATTTACCAGTATCCTACAGAAACTCTAACAAAATCCACTGGTCAGCTCCAAGATGTCTTTAGCACAACTGAAGCTACGGTAGAATCGGCTTCCTCCTACCCCTTAATCACCTCATTACCTGAAGGTATTCATTCAAGTATATTGCCTACCTCCCTGGGTCCTACACAAGTTGTTTTACCGTCTGAAAGAGAGTTGCGTTTAACTGATTCAATCACTCAGCGGTATGTATCAAGAACTTCTGTTATGCAGTCTACAGTCCCAACTAGAACAACAACTGAATTGATTTTTGGCACTAGAATTCTCCCTAGCTCACCAAAAGTGCTTACAGCTTCCTTTTCTTTAGCAACTATTAAAAAAGATGCATTTCCTTTGTTTTCTACACAAAAGGCAGGTACTAGTCTAAAACCCACGTGGCAGGCTTCGTTTACTGAATCACTTGATTCAAGTCAAATGCTAGAAATGACTACAGCTTCACCAGGATCAAAGTCAACCTCTGCATTGGTTTCCGTACCAGAAATAACAGAAATTCCCATTGCAGTGGCGAGTGGGCCATCCACATCAACGAGCAGAAGTGGTACAGGGGAAATGGTGGCGTTGCCTAAGCAGGTCACATTTTCAACCACCTCCTACAGTTCCAGGTTTCCAGCAGGTGCAACCTTGTCAACTGTGGCCCTTTCATCCACTGTAGCTTCGGCCTCTTCAATGATAAGCAGTGCTGGGCAAGATGTTAGTGTTGTATCACCAACTTCCGCAGAAGCAATATCAGGACCCATCACGAGCTCTGTGAAGCCCACCTATTTTTCTGTTACTTCAGAAGCAAAAGGAGCCATGCCCTTCAGTACAGTAACATCTGGAGAGCCAGAATTAACAACAGAAGTCCAAGCTGTCCCTACTCAAGGTGCTAGCTTTACCCTAGAAACATCTCAGACATATGACTCTCCATATTTTGCAAACATAACTGCAGTTCCTTCTAATTTAAGTGTATCGATGCTGTCCACTGTACGTTCGTTCTCTGAAACAAAACCTTTTTCTTCTGTAGCTGCATCATTGCTCAGTACTACTGAAACTTCAAAACTTGAACTATCATCTGAGGGGCAGACACCTTCTGTGAGTTCACTGCTCATGGTATCTGACCATTCGAATGACACAACAGCTTCATCTGTTTCTTCATTTGCCTATTTATCAACCAAACCACTTCGCAGTTTGACTACAAGGTTTTCTGATGGGCTGGCAACAACTGAATCTGTGTTGGGAGTCACAGCATCAGCTTTTATGCTGCCTACAGAAACAACAACTCTTCAAACTTGCATAGTGAGTAATAATAAATATTTATCTCATTGGTTTTGATTATATCTTCGTTATTTTACACACTGATTAAAAAAAAGTTGTGACCCATATTTTGATCTTCAGAATTTAAAATAACAGGGAGCCTTTTTATTTTCTCAACTTTATTTGAAACTTCAGAGTATTTTATTGCATGTAATGTTTTTTTGTAAGTGCTATAATACGCTGTGTTACAGGCCTCAGTATTCTGACTATTACAGGAATGGGGGATTTTTTGGGTAAAATACGGTGCTTTGTATTGTGTAATGGTAGAGGGATTTTTTGGCACCCTTAAAGTATATCTTTCTAGAGATCCCTGTTACCCTGTTACTTATACCTTTCCATGCTTTTTTTTTCTCAACTTTTTGCAGTGTAAAGTTAAAAAACCAGTAATGCTGTTCTCTGCTTTACAACAGGACAGCAGTTTTAAACTGTCCTTTGAATGGTTGGGTTATCAAAGGTGCTGTTCACTTCTAGTTTCCCTCAGTGTCACGGGGATACATAAGTATTCTGCACCTGAAGAGCATGAGCTTGTTTTTGAGCAAATACTCTGCAATATTGTGATACTAGCTTGGTAAGAACGGTAACGTATGTCTTTTATTAAATATGCCTTAGCCAATCACAGAGAATGACTGCATAAAATACATTTGCTTGGATGGACAACTGATCCAAGTTAATAAGTCGCAGAACTGCCCATACAATGCAACTCAGCCCAGCTGTGGAGTTTTAGGATTTGCTACTCAAATGAACGGTGACAAATGCTGCCCGAAGTGGGAATGTGCATGTAAGTTTTAATTATGCAGTATTTTTGAAGTGAATTTAGGTCACAATTTAATATATTTGTAAGAATGCTAAGAAGTGACAGTTCTGTACTATGGCATAGAAGTAGAAGATGCATATTGTGCAGATTAGTCATTGTCTAACGCAACTTGTAAGTCTAGTTCTACATCCAGGAAAATAAAATCAAAGTGCTCCTTTAATGAGGGATATTCCTCTTACCCAGCTTTAGCCGTGTGCGGTGGACACATCCAGATCTGACTTAGACCCATCTTGGTTTATGTAATCAGAGGACACTTTGTCAACATAGAGGATATTTCGGTTCATCTTCTATCAGCTTTGGGTTGTGAAGATTCCCTAGGCTCTCTCGGCTAGCTCTGTTCACAGCTGGGGGACTCTGGACATGCAGCTGCACTAAAGTCGCTCCTGTCATTTACCTAGAATTGGACAGGAAGAATCCCGACTTTAAAAGAAAATTCAGTTTAGTCCATAATAGCAGAGAAAGAATGCAGAGGTAAGCGATGCTTATTTCTGCTTAAGCGCTGGAGTTTAAAATAACTGAGAGCAGAACTCCAAGGTCTTTGAAGCACAGAAGCTTTCGCAATAAGACTGGGAAGAAGGAAGACTTCTCCATGAGCTCCTGCCTTAGGAGCACAACTATAAGGGAACTAACCATCCCTCATGATCCACTGTCGTTCATCTGTTTTGCTGATTTGAAGTTTGTAAAAATAACAAACCTTTGCTCGCACGAGCTGCGAGAAAATCACCAATTGCCGAGATGCGCAGTTTGTCCCACTGAAATATGCAGGATTTGACTCTGCTGTCCAGTTATTTACAGAGATGCAACAGAATCAAATATAGCCAAAAGTATGCACTGCATATGTGAAACTCCAGTAAGCTAGGTAATCTTATAAAATGTATTGGTTTATCTTCATATGCTGTAATATTTACAGACATTCTAAAGTAAGTTAGAAAAAATAATTACTTTTTAAATTTTTATTAGGTCGTTGCACAATTTTCTCTGATCTGAGCGTTATAACCTATGATGGAAATCATTTGGCTTTATTCAAAGAAGCATCCTACATTGTCAGTCAAACTCAAGACGAAACTATAACCATCCACGTCCTTGACTGCAGAATGGTAACTACCATTTATGAGCTAACAAATGGTGTTCAGTACTGCTAATAAAATGTATCTTAAAAGAAAGGGCATAGTAATACTATGTAGTTGAGGTTAATTAGTCACTTCTACCCAGTTTGCAGTTTGCAACACTAATGAATTGTATAACACTTGTATCGCTTTAAGATACATGTGTATTTCCTTTGGAAACAACTGGAAGGTGTCCATGTTATTTTGTTTTACGCATAAAGTAGGCAAGATGATACGACATCAAGTGGATGTACATTCATTACTCACATATATAACATGATCATGTTATACATATCACCATAGTTTACTGGTGTACCACTGGCGTATTTCAGTGTGTGATTTTTCTATGGAGCAGTTTTTGCTGGAAACGACAATCTTCAGAGCCACAGAAGACTGATCTTAATGCACTTTGTAGCGCAGACTCGAAACTGCGATCAGCAGTACTTTTCCTTATTTAAAAACGTGCTCTCCAAAATCCTTGATGTCCCAGTACCTAAAAACAATAAACAGCTAATGTATAAAGATTTTGCACATCACAACTATGGTTGATGTATTTTTATTTTCTCCACAGATTAATTCAAATTCAACTTCTCTGTGCCTGGCAATGTTGAATCTAACCTATGCATCAAACCAAATTCTTATCAATCGTTTAAGTAGAAAAGTAAGTATTTCGTAGGTTTGTGTTTCTTTGCCTTTTAGACAGCATCTTACTTCTGTAATCAACTGTCTCCATGTGGATACTGAAGATTAGAGTAGGACACAATAGGTCATATAATTTTTTCCAACTTTGTAATTTAGTAAACTCCTAGTAAGTTCAAAGAGCCAAGGACAGTTATACTGAGGTAAGTTGCAGAGCAAGGCACATAAGCTGTTTGTCTCTTGAGTATATGTATTATCTTTGTGGAGGTGAGCCTGACTTCTTTTGAAATTATTTATGAGTTAGATTCATAAGCTGTCAAGAATCTGGCTTTAGTTTTTCTACCTACCTCACTTGGCATCTGACAGTTAACCTTTTCTCTCTGTATTTTAGATAACAGTAAATTCAAGATTTGCTTGGCCTACTGTTAGAAAATATGGATACAAAGTTGAGGATTCGGGCTTCAAGTATGCAGTTGAGACCCCAACAAAAATCACAATTCAGTGGTTTCACAACACGGGTGTGATGGTTATTGAGTTTAATAGTACCAGAGAACCAAGAGCTTTGGGACTATGTGGTAAGTATAGAGTAGTGCAAGATGCTTTAATAGGGAGACACGATTTCATAATGACATAAACTATCTTTTGCAAGATCTGGTCCAAAAGAGTTATTGCAAAGTTTAAGATACTATTAAAATAAAATTATTATTGATTTTGTTACTTGTTAATGCTTGACATCTATGCATGTAATCACTTTTTACCTATGATGTTGCTTCTGACTGTAACCTGTTTGAATCCCAGGCATGATTGCTGTAACCAAACCCAAGAAGCAAGGACAGGCATAATGTCAAACAGTGCACACAGATTTAGCATTTGGTATCACTGATAGGAAGTGATATGTGCTATTTTCAGGTTCTAAAGATCAGAATTGACAGGAAACCTTAACTTGAGAGAAGTGATTTTAGTTTGTCTATTAGAAGAAATAGTTCAGAGGAAATTTTTAATAGTAGTGGGTTAAGTAACCATCGTGTTACTCTCTGCTAGGTCTGCTGAGAAGTTTTAATTTGTTTCTTTCTAGAAATCGTATCTCTGAAAAAGTTCTTGGTGCTGTAGCTTTTGCCAGTGTGCGTTTGTTGGTGTAAATCCCTCCTTTGACACCTGAATCAGTAAATTTGCTGTAAATTGGAGCTGGAAACCAGGGTTACAGAGTTTATATAGTTACAGTGGCTATCTTTCCAGTTTCAGAAAGGGCAAATGCCTATAGCTTAGTATCAAGTACCAGTGATAGCTCAATCCAGTTACAAGTGTGCAGACAGTAACGTGCTTCTCCGAAAGGAAGGGAGTTTGAATTTATAGCCATTTTGAAATTGGATTATTATCTGTATTTTGCCTGAACTTTTGTTTTCAACGTCATTCTTGCTGTGTTGCTAATTGTTACTGTACTTAGATAAAACAGAAACAAGAAAGTAATGACTATTTTTTAGTAAGCCTGATTCAAGTTACCATGAAAGTCGCTTTTGCCTTTACCTGTTTGATTACTGTGATAGCGAGAAGTGGGAACATTACATTCCTGGTTTACAAGGTGCTTTAATTAGATGACCACACGTTTCTGTGGATGGTGTTCCACGTATGAATTCTGTGGCAAACGTGCTGTGTTTTTCTGATATTCATCTCTGGTTGGGATTGTCTGCCTGTACAGTTCTGTCTGGTGCAACTTAGCAGAGCCTGTTTTAAATGAGCTGGTTGTGCTGCATCTTCTCAGCGTAGACTGCGCTGATCTCCTGAGCTTTCTCTGTTAGTCTGCTTCTTGTGTTTGAGCAAAACTGGTGAAAGGGAGCACAAGCAGGTCAGTTTTAGCTGCATCCAGATCCCTCCAAGCCACATGTGAAGGTTTAGCTTTGCTGTGTTAAATTTCCTTGTCCGTGTGTAAGAGAAGATGTGAAAAAAGATATCGCAGACATGACAGCAATTCTTTGAAGTCTCTCGGAACCATCCAGTACTTCCTGCTTGTGTTGCATAGACTCACAACCTCAGAAAGTTCAACCAGAAAGATTTTTGGTCAAGGAACAGTTAGAGTTTCAAAAGCTCTTTTCCACTCTGAATGCCTGTTGCTGTGTCACTGATTACACTGATTGCTCTTCTTTCAAGAATTGTGAAAATTGGTAAAACAGACCAGTTCTCTAGAAAAGGGAAGAGATGAAGATTTAGAAGTGCCATGCAAGTTTGTGGAAATGTAGAAGAAAACGGTTCTAGAAGTCTGATGCCAAAGGCTCAGAAATTATAATTAGGGAGAAAGAATGAAGGGCTGATCCATCATTCTGCATTTTTTGTACTTTTTGCTGGCATTTATAGGACCTTGCAGCAGTCTCCTCTGGATATTCTGTGTTGACACTCTCCATGTGTTACTTTGCATCCTTCGCTTCAGTGTGTTTCAGGATTGCCAACGACCTTCATTTAAATAGAAACAAAATGTGATGCTGCCTTCTGAAAAGTAAAAATAGAAAAGTTTGTTTGTTTTGTTCTGCTTTTTTCCCCTCTGCTGAGGGGTAATAGAAGTATACCTGGAGGTGCCAAAAGCTTCAGTTTTCTGGTAGCTCTTGACTGCTTAGAGGCCTAAGTAGAAATATACAGTATTTCTGAAGTGCAGTTTCACAGAAGCATCTTAGCATTTTATGAGAATTCCCTTTTCTTGTAACGTTTACAGTCTTCATTTATTTTTATACACGGAGGTGCTTTGTAGCCTTCTTTAAAATACTCTTGGTTTCGTGCTTATGCAACTGAGGGGTGAAGTTTGTGTGCTGGGCTCTTTGAAACGCTCTTTGATGTGCAATAGATTTCTATTCATAGGTGCATCTTTCCTTTTGCATAATTTGTGTAAATTTCCTGTGTTTAAATCCTACCAAAGACTTCCCACATCTCCCATGTGTTGTGCTACTGTCACATTGGAGAAGCTTTTTAAAAGCTATTTACTTATTTGAATTATGCCATTTAGACTTCAGAATTAACCATACGGTGTTAACCTGCTTTTTTTCTTCTGGTAATACACAGGTTTTTGTGATAGAAGCTTGGAAAATGACCTGATGCTACCCAACAGGACAGTTTTAAGCAAAAGCAATGCACTGTCAACTTTTATAGACAGCTGGCAAGTGCCAGACACGTTAAAGTATGTTGGAGAAGACAGGCATCAGGAAACTAATTGCTCAGTCATGGACTGCTCCGAGTGCTTAAGAATGGTGTTGAACCAGACCTTCAGCAGCTGTCATCCTTATGTATGTTAACTATTTCGGAAGCTTACATTTTGAGAGAGATGCAGTTCCGATATAATTTTGTATACTCAATAATTTCATTAATGTGAAGCTACATAGAACCACATCTGTGGAATGAGATATATATACTTTTTTGTTTCTAGAGTTGCTGGTAAAAATAATTGAAGAGTGTGGCAGTGTGAGAGTTGCAATAAGGAACTAACACTTTCAGAATTGATAATACATCTGTTATGCTGTACACCTAAATTGGTGGTTTTGACAATACCATCTGATTTATAAATCGGTCCCCGCTAATTAAATTTTACCAGTATGATGTAGAGCAAAGTAAAATAACATTGTTTCAGGATTTAATTAATCCTTAAGTGTTCAGTAATTTAACGTGTTCTAAATCACAGTAGGTAATCTGAGAGCCTGCATTCTCAAAGACTCTGGGGACAGGGAGCTCCAGCTTAGATGAGAGAGCAGAACAGACCATTTAAAGCAAATCTAAAGCAAATTACAAACTCGCATTGTGTAAACAGAGTTTTTATTTTTGAACATATGAGTACATTTACCATTTCACCTTTTATATGTTGTTGAATTTGATGAAGAGGAGGCCAATAACAGGTAAGGAAGAAACATGGAAAGTGAGTAATTATGCCTTGTATTGGAAAAACTGTATTAGCTCATGCCTGGGCGCTTAAAAAGGATGAAACTGAGGAATATAAGAATGTCAACATTCAGGAAGCCTTACTTTTACATACTGGTAGATTCTCTTTGTACACCAGTGAAGTCTGGTGGCATCATGCTTACTGTGAACTGAAAACGTCAGGCTTCATTGTTTGTAGACAAATCTTCTTCCTATCTAGCAGGGTCTCTATGAAGGTATAATAGTTATACTTTTTTATTTTGTTAGGTCCCACCTGAGCTGTTCTGTGATATATGGGCTCAAGACACTGAGTACATTCAAAATCCGTGCGTTTCACTAGCTGCCTATGTGGCCATGTGCAACAAATTTAATATTTGTATAGAGTGGAGGAGCTCTGACTACTGCCGTAAGTATTCTGCGTGTATGTGTGCCATTGGTGTTCACAGAGACAGAATTTGCCTAATATAAGAATTTAAGTTGAAAATACCACAGCTCTTTGAGTCCTTATGTACTTTGGAAGTCATTATTGAGATAATAAAACATTTCTTATGATGCAATTTGAAGCACTGTGCAAAACCAATCAGGATCATTATAGCTATTTCACAGATGGAAGAGGTAAGCTAAAGAACCTTGTTCAGAGGCCTGTGTCTGGCTTGAAACCTACTTAACTGTAGAAGTCATTTTCCTTGCAATGTAACGTTCATTTCTCTTAGCTACTTTCCACTGATAAAACCAAAGCGCAACAGAATTGATTGTGGAAAGTCAGAAGCCATAGAAAGGAAGTTTTATGGCACCTGCAGTTGGTGATACCTGCCTGAAGCTGTGTCTTTGGAGAATGGATTAGAGAAATGAAAGATTAGATAGAAAGAGTTAAAACCTGAGAGCTGGAGTATTCTGGCAGGAGACATCTCTCATAGTAACCTACTAAAACATAAGGCCAAATGGGATCTGTAGCTGTCACTAAATAAAAAATTTGGATTACATCTGTTGTCAGGGATCACCTAGGAAAAGCCCTCTGCAGTGGTAACATAGGGAGGTCTGCGATTTCAGTTCTTGAAAAGGGAAAGATGCATTGATGAAGTGTGATTCCCCCAAAATAAGAAAACTTATGGTACATAGAAATCTTGATGTCTTCTCAGAATGATTTAAGATGGGTGTGTATATACAGGCTTCATGCAGGCAGGTAGTAGTGCCCTGCAAATAGTAGCATGGAGTCTAAAGCTTAAACCCAGCCAATTAAGAAGAAATAATAAAAATCTTCAGTTTTTAAGGATCTTACTAGTGAGTAACTGTTTAAAAAGAAATCTTACAAAAATACATCTGTCGGTACAGTTGTGTATGCTCTCCATCGTGACGGGCTCCGTCGCTCTTAGGTTGATACCACAGTGACCTCTGGTGGTGTGTGTCTCGCAAGGAAGAACCATGAAGTCGCATCTGGAATTTGTGGTCACAAAGTGTTGATAGGCTGTAGACTGAGTTTTAAAAGCCTCAGTTCCTCTATTTAGAGGGCTCTGATACATATTTCCTGTGTGGCATTCTGGCCATTTTTAGTAGAGAGGAGCTGAATAAAATCAATCTCCTCTCCCAATTAATCTTTAAAGCCTTAAACTGTAACTTTGGTTTTGAGCAAGCAGTGCCGTTGTGAACTTATTGCCATGATTCCAGATGATGTTGCTGTATGATTTAGGTATCATTGCATGATGAGAATCAACTGTGTTCGTAGTACATGGAACTGTACTATTGGCACTTGTAGTCATTCTCAGTTTGCCGTACTTATACAGCTTTAACCACTGTTTTGAACCCGTGAAAGATCATGTTAAGTTTTCAACAGCAAAAGTTAAATCAAAATGAGATGCTTTTTTGCTCTATTCCTGCATGCACCCATAACATGCCACAGAATTTACATTAGTAATAGAAAGGTTAAATTTAACTGTATTCTTTGACTTAAAAATTACACATGTGAAAGTGTGGATATCTATTAAACAGTAATTAATTCATCCCATTCTTTATTATTCCACATAAAGCAATGCTGAATTTGTCTTTACATATATACTTTTGAGTTTGACAAAGCTCTGCCCTTTTGTTATCATTGCATTTTCTTTAGCCACTGCAAAGTATTCAGAATGATTCAGAGCAGAGTATTATTAATGTGTATAGTATTGCAAATGTTTTTCAAGTTTAAAATACTCTGTATCAACACCATTGCATGGTTTGATATCTCTACTGCCAAAAGGCAAAGAGAAGCTTGATTAAAAAAACCTTACTATAGGAAGAGAAGGAGAAATGTTTGAAGTTTCCCTTTGTCATGCAGAAGGGAACTGATCTGTATTTGTGCTTTAAGTTGGTCAATCTTACTGAGCTGGCAAGTGCAGGAAGTTGACAAGACGCTAATGTGTTCTCTTAGGTACTGCCCCATGTGAATATAACCTGAGAACAAGTGATCTGTTTATTTTCTTCCTAGCCTTCCCCTGCCCTGAGAACTTCTCCTACCAGGCTTGTATTGCTGCCTGTGAGGTTCCAGATAATTGTCAGAGTAATGAGGTCGCTTCTCTGGACTCAGACTCCTGCTCAGTGTTGACAGAAGGCTGCATCTGTGCTGGAGGGACCATCCTTCACCGAGCTCACACTGCTGTCTGTATTCCTGAAGAAAAATGTGGTATATTTGATGTGATTTTCTTCTTTATTGTCTACAAGTTGGTGGTCAGATACTTTATTAGTAATAAGTTGAATTCTGGCCTGATGTGTGGGTTCTGCAAATGTCATTCCGTTGGGGACTCTTAGATGTTGAGTAAACATTAACTGTGCAGGTGAGCAAGCGGGAAACGTCCTTATGATGGACCATTTTGGTCACTTCTCAGCTGGAGGATGCTTTTCAAAATTAAAGTTTTTGGTTATGGTTATGCATTCTAGTGTTCGAAGTATGTTAGTCTTGGCCTCCTTTTCACCTAGCCCTTTGCCAAGGGTGCAACCTACTGGTATTGAAAGACATTCAAAAGGACGTGTACCAACGGTTAATTACACATTTTGAATAATACATTTATATGTCCTATGTTCTTTCTACCAGCAGAGGTATTTTCATTACAATTCTGCCTAATCCCACCAAATTGTGGGCCAATACTTAACACTAACAGCACAAAACTTAAAAGATTATAAATCATGTTACATAAGACTTTGTAAATTCAATAATAGTTTTGCCATGTGTGAAAATACAAAAGTAACTTATTTTCAGATCCCTGCTTTAAAAACTAAGGATTGGATTGAGATTTGAAGTGACTAGCCTTGCAGTGGAGAAACATAACAAAGTGACGGCCCTAATCTCTGGAGGGTATTGAGTTGTCTTGCTTTCTCATACAAACTCCATCTCAGACTGTCTTCTCTTTCACTTTTTTTGTGGGGCGTTGGAGGTACACGATGCCTTTAAAACTCTTATACTTCATAGATACGTGCCCACTGTGGGAGAAAATGGTTTTCAAAATTTGAAGGAAAAAGGAATTACTTACACATTCTGTTGTTGTGGTATAGCTTGTACGGACAGCTCAGGAGCACCCCGTGCAGTAGGCGAGATCTGGAAAACTTCTGTGAGCGGATGCTGTATGCAAACGTGTGTTGACAGTGACACCATTCTTCCGGTGGAATACAACTGCTCAGAGAGCCACCACTTAGACTGTCAGCGATTTGGAGAAGTGGCCTTGCTCGTTCCTGGTGATCACACATGTTGTCCTCAAAATATCTGTAGTAAGTATTCCGTAATGATTATGAAGCCTGCCCCATGGAATATGCAGATATTCTTTCTCTGAGACTTGTTTTTCTGTTGCACATCCTACTTTTGAATGAATGGGAATTGCTTCAATTCAGATTTACAGATTACGTAGGAAATTGTAGAAACTTTGTACTCTTTGGCTAAATATCCAGTAGGTTTTGAGGGAGAAGTAGAGGGAGGGTGCAGTGATTATAAGGACTGAAATAGCATTGTCTTTATTTGGATATGAATTGTGTTTCTCTCAACTGTGCAGGATATTGATTTCTTGTAATACTCAGCTATGAATAAATGATAAAGCTTGTTCCAAGAAAAAAAGATCAGATGATTGTTGATCTGATTTACCAAGTAAGCAGTAAAAAAAGGATATAGAAGGGTTTTTTAAAAATTCTTATTTAGCACAGAAAGTCCATTTAAAAAAGAAATTGCAAGCAGTTTTCATGTTTTCGCCACCTGGGATGATGTTGCAATGAGTATGAATTATATTTTTTTCCACTTTAAATTCTTACAAGGACTCAACTCTAGTTTAACTTCGCTTCTGTGGAGACCGTTGCAAATGCCAGACACTTGTTTTGGGTTTTTTTTGCTAGTTTGTTGTGGGTTTCATGTGCATACTGTTATTTGAAGGTCTGGGGTGTGGGAACTGCAAATCCTGCTTGCCGCTGCTCTACTTGACTTATAGGATAGTTTACAAGTTGTTTGTTGTTTTTTTCTTTTATGTAACAGTTTGTAATCAGAGCCTCTGTGAACCCCTAATTCCTGAATGCAATGGCTTGGAAAAGCTGGTTACTTACTACAGTGAAGAATCTTGTTGTCCCAGCTATGTTTGCGGTAGGTTTCTTTTTGAAAAGGTAAAAAAGTTCACCCTGTAAAAACGTTCTATAAACTAAATAGACCAACTTAAAAGCAAAAAGTCATTTAGTGTAGACATCTTTATTAGGATGGCCATTTTCAAAATTCTCTTACATCTAAAAGCTCAGGGTTGGTCTGTGCCTCAGTTGGAGGAGATACAATGATGGAGTCTCATGTTGAATAATCAGGTGAGAATGTGTCTTTGTTCTCTTGCGACACAAGGTAAAAGTTCTGAAGTATCTTGTAGCATTTCTGTGCTCAGCACTGCTGTTTCTTAGGAATATAATGTGACAGAGGATGAATGCTCTACTTCATATCAAGAAATAAATACGTTGTACTTTTTTCAGAATGTGATCCAGCAAAATGTGAACCAGTGGAGCAGATGCCAAGCTGTCGAGATGATCAAACACTTATTGCTGCTCGAGTTGAGAGTACCTGCTGCATTTCCTATATATGTGGTACAGTATCCTGACTAGTTGAGACTATAAGTGGTTTTTGTATATGCAGTGATGTCTACTGGTATCTTGCCAATTAAGTCCCCTTGTACTTCCTTTAGCTCTCCCAACATAGTAAGGCTTGAAAGTGGTTAAAAAAAATGCGCATAAAGTTTATAAAACGTAAGAAGTGGCAACAACCATTAGAGTCACAAACCAGCTTTGTGCAACTGCTTGGTATTCTTGGGTCCCCTAGAGGAGTGATGGTGAGTCCGTGGGTGAGGGATTGAGGGGCTTTTTAAGAGACTGTCCATGTACTACACTGTGTGGACTAGCTGCATGGATTTTCTTATCTGAAAGAAAACTCAAACTATATATGCTCTTGCTCCCTATATCCCATTGTATCAGCTATGGCCCATCTTATTCAAAGGTAAATTTGTTCAGTTCTTTTGGGGTTTGGCCGTTAATGACTTAAGTTAATAATAAAAATGCCCTTTTGGCATCAGTGAAATTTCTTCCTTTGGTTTAGGTTTCATAGAATCATAGAAGTTGGAAGAGACCTTGAAGATCATTTGGTCATTTGGTTCCAACCCCCTGTCAGGGACGGGGACACCTCCCACTAGACCAGGTTGCTTAAAGCCCCACCCAGCCTGGCCTCAAACACTTCCAGGGAGGGGCTTCCACAGCTTCTCTGGTGGTGAGACACTGTTCCAGTGTAAAGAATTTTTTCTTGTAGCTAACCTACATCTAGCCTCTTTCAGTTTGAAACCATTACCACATGTCCTATCACTAATTTAAATAATTTTTTCCAGCATGTGAGGGTTGCTCTGATCAAATACCCAAATGTCAAGAAGGAGAAGTTCTTATTGTGGATGGTAATACTACAGAAAAGTGTTGCCCTACATACCAGTGCAGTAAGTTTGACTTAATTTTGATATTTTAAGTGACAGAGAACATGTCAAATTTTGTAGTGTGGATGTTCGGTGCCAAAAACAGTGGAGGAGAGATACAGCTCCACTTGTGCATATAAATAAACTATCATTTGTGAACAAATACTTTTTATTTTTAAAACTTGATGTGCCTGAAACATTATCTGAATATCTGTATCATGAAGACAAATTAGTAATTTCAGGCTCTGAATTCTAGAGATCTAAAACTGTTTTAAATATTTGCCTAAAGTTCTTGTATTCCATGCTGCTATTATCTGATGGCTAACAATTATATTTCAATTATTGGTCTTTTCAAGTAAGATGTTTTCTGAAAGTACTTATTACTAATAAGTAATTGACTATCTCTTGATTCATATTTCTGTTCATCAAAATATGACAACCTTGTGTTTATCTCTTAGTTTGTGAAATACATCGTTGTCCTGAATTCAAATGTATGCTAGGCATGTCTTTGGTGGAGGTATGGAGCCCAGAGAAGTGCTGCCCCTTTCGGAGATGTGGTAAGATGACTGATTTTCATTTTAGTTGCCTTATACAATAAGACACTGACAAGAGCTTTGGGCTTTTGTATTTTAAGTCTGTTTTCCGCCAGCTACACCACTGTGATATAGAGAAGTTGCCTCGTGGTACTCAACTTCATCATCTGCCTGGTTTGTTTTTCTTGCCTCACAGGGTGATAACATACTGTAGAATTTGCCTGTCCAAACTGGATGACTAGTCATTTTGTAAAATTTTTTGTGGCAAGGTTCTGGGAGAGCTGCAAATGTGGCTTCTGTGAGAAGCTGTAGAAGCTTCCCCTACGTCTGATGGAGCCCCTGCCAGCCGGCTCCAAGTGGGACTCACTGCTGGCCAGGGCTGAGCCCATCAGTGACAGTGGTAGCACCTGTGTGATAACATATTTAACGGGGGAAAGGTTGTGTGGCAGCAATTGCTGCTGATAAGAGGAGTGAGAACAACTCCAGGCTGTGGGAATGACCCACTTTGGAGAAAGTGGAGAACTGTCTCCCGTGGGAGAGACCCCATGCTGGGGAAGGGAAAAGAGTGAGGAAGAGGGAGCAGCAGAGACAATGTGGTGAGCTGATCACAACCCCTGGTCCCCATCCCCCTGTGCTGCTGCGAGGGAGGAGGTAGAAAAATCAGGAGTGAAGTTGAGCCCAGGAAGAAGGGAGGGATGGGAGAAAGTGTTTTTAAGATTTGGATTTATTTCTCATTAGCCTACTCTGATTTGATTGGTAGCAAGTTAAATTGATTTCCCCAAGTCGAGTCTTGTTTTGCCCGTGACTGTAACTGATGAGTGATCTCACTGTCATTATCTTGACCCATGGGCCTTTCATTTTATTTTCTTTCCTCTGTCTAGCTGAGAAGCAAAGTGATAGAGCAGCTTTGGTGGTCACCTGGCATCCAGCCAGGGTCAGCCCACCACAGTTAGTAAATTATTTATGGCAAAAAAAAAAAAAGGTTAGGTTCACAGTCAGGAATTTGACAGTTCACAAAGACCGTAGTATATCATACATCTCTGTGATTCTTTAAACAATCCTCCATTGCTTTATATCAATGGTAATGATTTTCATCACTACAAGTAGGCCAATGCCTAGAATGTTTGTTGGTTTGGTTTTTTCAAAAGTGTTTAGGTAGTCTGCAGTTGATATAATTATGTAAATTGTTGTGATAAGTAAAGGTGAAACTGGTATTAGCTTTCAGGGTGGAAGAGAAATCACACACAATTCTGGATGCCCTACATGGGGATATTTCAAAAAACAGAACAACACCTTTGGCAATGACTTGTAAACCTGGAATTTCTGTTCTCTCTGATGCTGTTTTAAGCAAACGGCATATAACTTTCTAAACTATTGTTTCTCTTATATTTGTTTCAGAATGTGCATGTGAAACAATCCCCAAACCTCAGTGCAAAGTGGTATGAAATTCATCTTATTTATCAGTATTCTTTTATTAATTTATTTAATATATCTATTTATCAGTATCCTAATAATAATTTTATCAGTGAAATATGAAATGTCATGTCATTCTCTTTTTTTTTTTTTTAAACTGCTTTCCAAGAAGATATTTTTGTTTTTAAGAAGACAGTTCAGTTTAAATATCTTGCAGAATAAAATGGCTGTATAGTGTTGATATTTCTGGAGCTTTTAATAACTATATCCTACCCTGAAGTATTGGCAGAGTAGAACTGCTTTCATGCACTCAGGGTTTATTATTTTTTTTAGTGTCAAAACTAAATGCTTTAAAGCATCAGTATTTTGTTAATATTACTTGTTATGGTGAAAATGCTGATGTGTCTCAGATGTGGAGATTTCTAGACAAAGGCAAGCCCTTGCATTTCAGCGTTGGCCTGCCTTAGTCTTCTCTGTCCTGAAGGTCTGCTGTGCTGACACCAACAACCGCTCCTGTTTTTCAGATGTAAAAAAACCCCATCCCATGTGGATATCATTACTAAAATAAATGTCCATGTGGATGGTGAAAGTGGATTCAAAATAGGTTTCTCAGGACAAGAGATACTGCTACTCAAATCCTGAAGTACAAGTGTTTAAAAGAAAAAGATCACATGGATAAGAAAACACTGTCGTTTCACTTCTCTTTTTTTTCTGCTTTTATACTCTTAGGGGCAGAAACTTCAGATAGATGAACAGTTTCAGAACAGTACAGAAAATATCTGTAACTGTGTTAAGTACAAATGTGGTAAGTCAGAGAAGAATTTAATTCAAAGACAGACCCTTTCAAGTGCTAAGGTAAATTAGGAATTATAAATCCCGTGTTCAGTTTGAAGTGAGGAGGAAATAAATGACTGACATAGTTCTCAAATAGTGTAAGAAATGGCAGGAAAGTAGGACTGATCACTAAATATTTGACTGATTATGGCCTGTCCTTTTCTTCTGTTAGTTCCTACAGTGGGAGAGGGTGTGCAGGGAAATAGCAGACAGGATTTGGGGCAAGTTTGGGTGGTATTGGCTAAGCAAGTCTGCATTCTGCTGAACTGGAGCAAGAAAGTAAAACACATACTTGGTGTCCACTTAAAGAAAAATCCTGCTAACCCATTACGGGGCTACTCAGGAGCTGGTAGACACACTTATGTGCTTTAGCGGGTCAAGAACTGCATTCAGCACCACGGGAATTTGTCTGGACGGGGAGAGGAAATAATTCCTGTGGGGCACCCAGCTGGCCAATAGCGTTGGGTCTGTCCTAGCCTAGATTTCTACAAGGAAGATGTATGCTTCTGAGCTAGTTATCCTCTGTGCCCTCAATAACTGGTAAGGAGAAAGAGACATTTCTCAGGTTTCTTATGTTGAAGTAGACTTAAAAACAAATCAGTTGGAGAAGCCTGCACTGACATTTTGGTGGTGCAGCTAAGAGAGTATTATATATTTATTTAGATTTCATGCATGGTTACATTTGAAATAATTTGGTGATTGTAGTGAAACATTAAACTACTTATTATTAACAATCTATATTTGAAAATCTATCCCATAATTCCTAAGGGAGTAGATTTTTTTTCCATTCCTGATGACTGTTTGAAACATTTTTAACAGAGTTTTGATACCAAACTGACTGTCCTGAGTGTGCTGTTTATCTTTGTGTATTCTTCCAGTGAGAGACAAAGTTTGCCTGAGTAACGAGAGAGGTGTGCTGCTTCCCGGACAGACAATTGTGGAGCACAGCGCAGATGGCATTTGCCATATTTCTCACTGTACAAATGTGATTGATCCCTCCACTAAATTCTACCGAATAAACACGTCTTCAGTAGACTGTGCTGTCAAGTGCAAAGCTGTAAGAAATTCAGAATTTTAGACGCGTATATTGCAACTGGTGGTCTTAATTGTGTTTTGTTTAGTTTCGTTAAGTAGGTTACGGTCATATGAGCAAGATGGAAACTGAGAAGTTACAGTAACTGAGATCTCCCTCTAAATTAAGTGCTGCTGCACTTGATGTTTTCACTATATTCTCCCCTGTGTAAATCTTTACCACAAAGCAAGGTGTATAGCATACTGCCACCTTGCATCCCTGTATAACTTTAGCTGCATTACACCTACACTGGTACAAACTCTTGGCAGACATTAGCTCAGTAAAAATTGGAAAAATAATAATTATAAATAGAAGTATTCTAGATGTGGCAAAAACAACCTTATAAAATAAGCAAATGATACCATGTCTTTTAACGAAGTATGATACGTTACCATAAGAGTATTATATAGATTACTTGTTCTAATTATGCCTAATGTATAAAAAAGCAGAATTTTAGTTACTCTTGAAATAAGCTGTCAGACTTATACTTGAAAATGGTAGAAAGACCAGTTTATTCTCTTGAGCTGGAGCTTCTCCCCGTTTATTTCAGTTAATATCAAAGACTTGTTAATGTGCAGTGTGTAAAAATGAAAGCTATGCAGATACCCCAAAAAAATGCCCATCACATGAGTGAAATGTCAACCTGCAAGATGGTCTGACGCAAGGAATAATCTATTTGATTTTGGCAGAACCAAATCTACCAGCCTCCAAAAGATTTAACAACTTGCTGTGGTAGCTGTAAGAACTTGTCTTGCCTCCACACTTTCAGCAATGGCACAGTTTCCAATTTTAAGGTAAGTTTCTGTGTGTCTTATTCCCTTACAATAGTTAACAAAAATTTACAAGATACTGTGCACATACTCCATATAAAATATGCAGAGAAGAACTTTATTTGGTCAAATACTAGAAATAGTTTGGCATGTGCACAACATCAGTTTCTTGGATAGTCAGTCATATAACAGTCTACAAAGATTAAGGGATTTTGATGCATCAGAGAATTATCATCAACTTGACTGTTGAACCTGCCTAACATTATACATTTAGTGGACTTCTAAGTTCTGTACTGAAACAGAGCCTTAACATACATCCAAGTTATGTTTTGCTAATTATATTTTACTAGTATTTTTGACGCAGACAAATCACATTCAGTGGAATTTTATAATAATACTGCTTTTGCCGAGTTTCTGAGCCAAGTTTCTGTCTTGCCATCTTTAACAGCCTGGTGCTGTTTGGATTTCGAACTGCGTCAGATACGAATGCGCTAACACTGCAGCAGGGCCAGTTCTGGTTTCCTCTTCAGTTGGCTGCCCACCCTTTAATGAAACTGAATGTGTGAAGGTCAGTGGTCAGTACATTGTTTGCATTCCAGCTATGATTCATGTTTGCATGAAAAGATTAACACAACATAAGATGTTTTAACCTCAGGAAGGGGGAAGAAATTATAAATTTTTGTAGTGCCTGCATTTTTGCCTAGACATTTGAAAGTGAAAAGCTCTAACTATACACATATAATGTGCCACCAGACTGTCGAGTGACACAACTGGAGAAACCTCTTCTTATGCTCAGAAAATACCCTTTTTTCCATAGATTCTTGTAATATCAAACTAGTCCCCATACAGCTGTCTGAACTTGTATGCTTTTCTAGGTTGGACTTCTGGGAAGTGCTTCATGCTACAGCGCTGAGGACAGCATGAATCTCCCCTGTGGGGAGTGGCTGGCTTCTCATTTAGATGAAACCTCTTGCTGCTTTGAATTCAGAATCGGTGTTTTGTGATTGTTGTTTTGGCCTCTGCAAGAAGTCAGAGGTTTACTCTTGAGTTACATGTGATGGCGTCAGACTTAACGCAGTTGTTCCCTCTCCAAATGTGGTGTTTCGGTAGCTGGTGCTGCATAGAGGCATTTGGTGTCAACCACTTAATACTCACTTGTGCTAAAACAGTCAGGTTAGATCATTTACAGCCAAACCTTCATCCAGTCGCCAGAGTGCTGCATTTGACTAAATAACATTGCAGAGCTTTATCTGGAAGATATTTCTAATAGTGCAGGTACACAGGAATGAATGTTTGAAAAAATCATTTTTTTTCTTATTTATTTCTCTCTTGGTCAGGTTGGAGGCTATGTTCTGCCTTTCTTAGAAGGATGCTGCAAAACATGTAAGTGATTAATGACGCTTCTGCCTTCCAAGTCTGTCTGATTTGTTATTACCTTAGAAACAAAGTTGATCCTTTCCTATATGAAAGCTTGATTCACTGATCTCAAAGGGCAGGCTTTTCCCTGTTTTACTCATGTATACCAGTGGAAGTGGTGGAGTCAAATCAGAAGATGATATTTTAACATGGAAGGGTTTACTCCACTGCTAGTGATTGTGGCTGGCCATGTCACTAGAATTGCTGGCTTGAATAGTTCGTAGTTCTCATGTAAAACTCCTCAATTACTGCATTTAATACAACGAAAGTACCATGTTCTGGAAGGCATCTTAAACCAGGTTTCCTCTACACTGATCTATGCAGTTTGTAAGTTAATGCTGTAAATATTTAAGTGATTGTAATATAGTGTTAGCCTTCATTAACAAATAGTTCAGAACCTTTCAGGCAATATCTTTTAAAAGAACTTACAATTTAAAAATCCCCCACTTTATTACTAAGATATGTTTTGACATCAATGAGCGCTAATAAAGCTTCTCTGGAGAAAATAAAAAGTTCTCTACTGAATAGATTCTGAAAGTGCTAATTCTTAATATAGATTAAGGGCTAAGTAATTTTTTTCTTAACACATAGCTGAAACATTTTGACTGATTTCATGAAGAACTTAGCCCTAGGCAGACACCTAACCTGAATAGTTTAAGCTCAAATACTTAAAATTGACAATGCTGTAAGCAATTGAAAAGCAGATTTTATACTGGGCAGTCTTATTCATGTCTAAAGAGGTGCAAAAAATCTGACTTCATTTGCATAAGTGGCTGTATAGTGACCTAGCAGCTAAAGATAGTGAGAGATAAAGTGTGGAAAAGAGCTGGAGAAAGGAGGAGTTGTTTCCTGCAGAGCGGGATCGGACTCGAACAATCTGACTGCCAGCTATGGTACCACGTGCCCAGTTCCTGCAGTGGCATCTGTGTTCCCAACTGGGAGGTACCTTTGGTGATAGTAATTATGTATTGCATTTTGTAGTACAAAGTTCATTAAAGCTGTAGAAAATTTGTCTGGGTTTTTTTTTTCCTTCTACTGATCATTGTCAGAGAATGATGGTGTCTTTTCGTGTTTTTTCACTCTGGTGGACCTGTTTTGAGTACTTGTCCTAGGCTTTTGGAGATTAGTTTTTAATTATCTGATGTTACCCATTAGTGCCTTAGCAGCTGGTTAAGACAGCTTCTGAGCAAACAATTTATTAAGACTGTTAGAAATCCGTTAAGCTACTTTTTCAGCAAGGCAGAAGATCTTGCTACTATACTTAGAGAAAGATTATAACCATGCTCTTAAATAACTAAGTCTGGGTCATGCATCACAAAGTAAAATGAAACTTGAAAAATCCAGTGACGTCTGAGATGCATTTCCAAGTAGATTCATACAGTTTTGATTTCACACCTGCTTATAGACAACCTCTATGAATCATGTAGTTCATTCTGACTCTGAACAAATCTGGCATGAGAGTTGTTAGTCAACTGTAATTGTGTGAGATGTTTTATGTCAAGGGTTATCAGGTTTTTGTTTACCTTTGAAGTATTTTACCATTAGAAACCTTTGTGATTTCTTTTCTTTCAGTTTTATAAGGTATTTGAAAATTAAGTACCAAGAGTTCCATCAAAACCCTGAGAGTTTTTACAAATGTCGCTCAGGGGAAGGGATACTATCTATTTACTGCAGCCCCAAAAGGGCAACTTAAATGTAGGATACCAGATTGTCTTAGTTTATACCAGGGTAGATGAGATTCTTCCTGGTTTTGACGTTAGGTTTAGCAATACAAGTAATACCTGGACACGTTCATGAGCTGCTGGCACAGAGATCCCTGCTTGAGCAGGGAGGTAGGACCAGCTGACCTGTCCAGAGGTCCTTTCCAATGTCACCTCCTCTGTGATCCTGTAATATACAGACATTTTAAGGTTGAATTCTTTTCTCAAATATGCTGAAATGTAGTAACTCCAGGTGTTTCATACTGATAGAGAATCTTCTGTAACATTTACTGTGTTCAATATGTAATATTCTTACCAGGTTCTTCAGTGTCCATGCTCCTCCCATTCCCTGTTAGCCCAGTCACCCCTACAGCCCATGCTGGCTGTTACACAGGTACATTCTCCTGAAAATAAGTAGGACCAACCCAAACAGCATCATTGTTGATTTCCAACAATGTCCTCCCCGATAGGAGCATCAGGCCTCACATTACCCAGTTACACCAAAAGCTGCAGTGTAGTGTAACTGCTCATGGTTTGGAGGGGCTACAGCTTGGTTTGGTTTTGATTTTCATTTTGCACTGTGTGGGCGGTGCATTGTTGTTAGCCAACAATGTACTGTTGGTGGTAAGCACTTGCATGGTCCGTAGCTTTGCTGCATGTGTGAAATTGCTGTGTTTAAAAAAGTAAGCAAATTCTGTTTGCAGTGCTGTAGAACATAGAGACTAATGGCTTTGCTTGTTAAAGCTTGTTCTGTCAGCAGCATTTTTGGAGATAATGTATAGTTTTGCTTCCATATACAGTAGAAGCAGATCATTTCTTTCCCATCCATAGTTAGGACAGTATGCTGAAAGTAGCAAGGCTGTGTGTACTCCATCAAAATTGGAGATTGTTCTTTTTAATGGAGCATGTTATTTTTTTTTTTATGATTTTAATGTGGTATGAATGCAGTTGTTTTGGCATTTATTTTGAGAACATCTCTCTGTAAGAGAAAGATGTTGGGTGTAATTTTGTATATCACCGATTGATACATCCTTCATTAAATTACATTCATGACTCTAGAACTATGCTAAAATCTATATTGCGCTTTCATATTGATGTCACTTTAAATGATGATGTTATGAGTCAACCCAAAGAACAAGCAAGGATTTTTGACCATGCACACTCTGAAAAAGCTCATTATAAAACAACACATAAAAGATGCTCACGTTTTGTAAGCCTGTTCATGGAGAAGCATATTGTGTTGTAGGGCTCATTAAAAGCCGCTGGACATTCAAGTACGTAATGCAAATACACTATATAATTAATTTTTGTGAGATACGATGTACTTTCATAATAGTGTGGGCGAAGTCATAGCCACAGCTGCACTGAATTCTCCATTCTCTACACCATGTACAATGTAGAAGAGGAAAAGTCATGAACAGGACTACGAGAAACATGAAATAATGGTGAGTGTTTTATTTTCAAAATCTGTTCATTTTTTTCTTCACTTATCAATTTACTTTTTCCCTAAGCAAATGTAATTCGACAGTAGTCAAGCAGTAGCCAGCCATTTCAGATTGTAGATTTTTCTTTGTTTCCAAGAAGGTTCATTGTTGTCTATTCTTTCATCTTCCATAAACGTTTACTATGTCTAGAAATAGTAGCAGGCTTTTACATTCAAGAAAAAAAACAAACAAAACCTCAAAAACCACAAAAATGCTTTTCTTTGAGAACCAGTATTACCTGGTTTGACAGTGATTGGAGCAGGAAACTGGTCATTGCACATCAGGATGTAATAAACCTCTGTCACAGTTGAATCAAACCAGCGAGTCTTTCATTGCCCTTGTTTTCCTGGAGGTAACAGTATTCACATTTTGTCAACACCTTTGGATTTCTTGATTTCTTGACTGAAAGAAAGCGCAGCTCTAAGTGGAGTTACTACATCCTGATGTATAAAATCTGCTGTCAAAGTGTGACAGCTGTTGTAATGGAACGGATTATTCGTTTCTTTTACAGATCTGCAAAGTGATATGATTCCTTCAGCACAGAGAGGATCATCGGAAGAAGATACTGTGCTTTCTGATCTCTAACAACTGAATTTATACTGAAACTTCCTTGCTTTTCTTCAGATGTTCAGGACACGCTTCTTCTAAGTCCTCATTTTATTTTGTGTTTTCTTTTGATCTTATTTCATCCCTATATTTTGTACAGACTTCATTGAGGAAAAAATGTGAAAATGATGTTAATGAAAATGGAAATAAAAATTCTAATTCATTCACTGGTGTTTCTTTTCATATTTAATAAAAGTATACAGAAATGTAAAGTTCCCATAAGCCTTATACTTCATCAGATTCTGCTGTTAAGTGTTCATTTTAAACTTGGTTTATGCCACTGGAATGCAGTTATTGCAATTAAAGTTTGTTACAGTTACTTAATAGAAAATGCATCTTCTTACAGGAGTGGTTGATCAGTTTTTACAGGATTTTTTGAGAGACAGGAGTTACTCTTAAAAGGCTACTGAGTGAAAAAATTGACCGTTTTGAATTGTTATTGAAGGTATTTAAAAGTGATTTAATGTCTAGCTAATGTCACTTTGCCAAAGTGCAGTGATGTACTGGGTATTTTCTTCTTTGTGTCTCTCAACCCATAAAACATTTAGGAATGTTTTTGTCTCTGAAATGTTTAGAATTTTGAGCTGATTATTTTGCAATCGATGCCCATTTTGCAGGTAAAGAAGATGGAAAATTCTGTAAAAAGGTGACTGTTAGGATGACTATCCGCAAGAACGACTGCAGGAGTAACACACCAGTAAGTAACTATCACAGTGTCTTTTAACAGAAGGGGAAAAAAAAAGCAATAAATAAAAAGAAGGAAGAAAAGGAACACAGATTCCATGATGCTGTTGTCTGCATCTCTCTCACAGAGAGCTGTTTTAATGTTCCCTACGTTCTCAGCAGTCATCTTCTCAAGTAATAACAAAAAGAGGGATGTGACTTCTGGTTTTGTATGCATTTAGGTACATCCTGATTTAGTGCAAATCCAAGGTCTCAATTCACCCTATAATGCAATTACTATATACAGATAACTTTGATATAACTGAATCTTGCTAGTGATACAGTAGAGTTAAAAATGGCTGCAGATGTATTTGATTTTCCATCTGTGTAGGGGAAGTATTTAACTGCCCAGCTTCACGAAGAAAGGAATCTTGGGTCCTGAAGGGTTTTTTTAGGCATGCTGTGAAAATGTGGATGAAGCACGAGGCACGAAGAGCTGACGGTAGGAGGACACCAGCAGTGTCCTGCTGGGCGCTGAGGTGGTGTGAGCAGCAGCAAGGGTGCAGACAGACGTCTCGTGTGAGATATGTAAGAGCGCCTAGAAAAGCTGTAATAAGAGTCTAGGGAAACAGCTGGAACCTCTAAAATGTCTCTGAGAGTATGTTTTGTAGAGTAAGCTGTTGAGCAGCCAGGAAATTTAGTCTTGGTGTCTCATTGAACAGAAATGCAAATCCTGACTATTAAACTTGAACAAATTATCAATTTATATGACTGTTTCTGTTACAGTCAGTATTACAGTTTTTGGTATCACTAGTAATAACTACCCTGTAGCTTTTCAAAAGACTGATTCTTTATATTCCTCCTTACTGATACCAGCACGGCAATGCTGTATCACTGAAATTAATATGTAGGGAGTTGTGGATCGAACATATGGTCCTATGTTCAATTCAAGGTTGTTATGAATACTTTAAAATCCAAAACTAAAATAGTTCTTTTGTCTGTTAATAGCCAAAATATGCTGTTACTGGAATTGACAGGAAACTTGTTACTAATCTCCGAAAGATAAAAATCGAGAGCTATTTGGGCAACATATTTGAGAGTTTATTACTCGGTGGGATTCATAAGGGGATAGAGGAAATACCTCCAAATTTTTCATTTTTCTGCCTTTGGATTTGGACTTTATTGAGAACTCCTAAATTTATTTCCTAGCTGTTTCTGTTTGCTGATTATTCTTCGTACTTGTTACCAGGTGAACATTGTTTCGTGTGATGGGAAGTGTCCATCTGCAAGCATTTACAACTACAACATCAACACATACGCAAGATTCTGCAAATGCTGCAGGGAGCTTGGGCTACAGAGACGAACCGTGCAATTGTATTGCACCAGTAATTCGACCTGGGTCAGCTATTCAATCCAAGAGCCTACAGATTGCTCTTGCCAATGGTCATAAAACATAGTAAAAAGAAAGAAAACAGCAAGCCCAGCTGTTCCCAACATAAGATAATTTGTATAGTTTATCTATTAAAAATTCAATATCCAATCCACTAAATTTTACCAGTTTAACGCTTCAAGAGTAAAAATATTTTTGGACTGTCCTAAATTTCTGAAAAATGCCTTTGCATCGATTGTATTGTGATTCGCCTTCATGTTCATTCACAGGGATTATTTTAAGGGTTCTTGATGTTTAAGAGGTCTTGATGTGCGCAAGTCTAAAACGTTGAACAGATTTGAGTTAGAGACACCTCAACACAAAAAAACCACCATCTTTTGTGTTCCAGAAGGCTGTCCCACTGTTTGTCAGGCTCCAATTCCTGTTTTAAATCACTGACTGGCTTATGTGGCAGCAGTTCACTATTCTGAATGCATTTTGATTCTGCAAATACATTCAGCGTCCATTAAGAAGAGTTGTTTTGGACAACATGAGAAAAAATTTCAGTTTAAATCATATTCCTATTGCGAACTAGAGCAAGTATAAGAAATTCACTTAAAGTTGTTGGGGTTTTTTTCTGTTTTGTTTTTAATCAGGGAAACATTGTCAATACTGATAACTGTATGTAATATTCCCTGGTAATAAATGCATTTTTTCTAGTGTATTTTGTATTGTAGTGAAGAGCATTATGGAAAACACATGATCTACAGAACAGATAGACTGTTCTTAGGTTATCTAGATTAGTTGTAGGTCCATTTTCTGCTGAACAATATGACATAAACTGAAAATACACAGATACTACAAATTAATATCATTTTACATTCCTTTATATAGGTATACCTTAAATGAAAGCATCCAGCTTATGAAATGTACCACACTTAAACTGTTACTTTAGGAGAATGAACTTTGTTTAACACTAATTCTACAGATGTGAAAATCTATTAGGAAAGAGAAAATCAGGTTTATCTGTTGAAAATGTACAATTGTAAGGTTTGACATTTCAAAAGCAATTTTGCTTATGAACTTGAATAATTAGCATTTTGTTTTAATGAATTAATTTTCTCCTCTAAGTCAATGTTGCTGTTCTGTTTTCCAAAAAAAGCCACGAAGATTCAGTAGAAATTCATTAAAATTGTAGATAGCATGATGATATGCTGGAGATCCTGTAATAGAAAATAGATGTGAACTTCTTAAAAAGCTGCTTGTCTGAAGTTAATGTAAGGAAATGTGTTGTTAAAATCAGTCATGTGAACATTTTTGATAATAATTTTGTATTCTGTACATTTCATTCTTACAATATCTAATAAACAACAGGAAGTCTTATTTTGTTACAATTAATTTTGCTATCATTGTTAAAGCAGCTTGCTTACTATCATGTACTTCAGCACAGTGTTCATTAATCTTTCACAGTGTACGTGGTCCATTTTAGGGTTTGCTATTATCACTAGTGCTAACCAAGGAAGACCTTCATGTGGGGTTTCAAAAGTCTACATCTTTTGCTGTTTCTGTTACAGTTGGCTTGCAACCTCAGAAATGTAAAATTCACTTTATTCAAAACAAAAATTGGAAAACCTCTGCTTATAAGAACACATTTCTGACAAGCTCAGATAGGCTGTTTGTTCTGGAAAAACAGAGGAGGAGGATAAATTTCTGCATATTTCCTTTCGACAGTTCCCTTTTTGCTCTACTGTCTCTCAGGACTGACTGCAAGGAGTAGTTGATTGTGTTTTGATGAGAGTTCAGGCTTTTTTTTTATAATATAGTTGTGTAGCAATAATTACCCTTTGGCACTTGGGCTCAGGCAAGTTGTATGTGCAGTCTCTAGGTGTTTAGTAAGACACACTCCTTGTTCAAAGACATCTTTTAAATAGTGAAAAAGGACAGAGTTTGGGAAGAGTGCATCCTCTGGAAAACCCTGGATTGAGGAGCAGGAAAAAATTGCTGTTTACAAGACATCGAGGAGAGCTGAGTCCTTGAACTCAAGTGCTCAAACTTCAAGCTTGGGCATTTGCAGAGGTCAGGTTTAGCGTCCCCTACTACCAGCTAGCAGGTGCCATCCTAGAGCCTTAAAACAACTGTACTTTCTTTTTAGTAAGAAGTTGTCTTTTGCTTGATTATGTAGATATAATATGAAGGGTATACAGCACTGAAGATACGCTCTGTGGAATATATGCAGTTTCTTATCACAGCCTTAGTTGTGTCTTTATTACCTTTAAAGGCGTATGTGCATTTAGAGCAGACGAACTACTTTGTGTGGCAAAAGTTAAGTCCTACACTGAGCACATAAAACAAGTCCCTAGAAGACAATTTGCTTTCTAAAAGTCTCCAGCAGTACGGCTGTTCCTGTGCCAGCAGCCCCAGAGCCGCCACCGGCTCCCTCGCTGAGGTCAGCCAGGAGTTCTTGCCCGGGGATCTTAAAAGGTGAAGGGAGAAAGAAAAAAAAAAAAGAAAAAGAAAACCTGGTTTTAGAAGCACAAAAGAGACAAAACAGCAGCTGCTCTTGGGG